GATCTGCAGCTTTTGTGAGTTGTTTTTAGATATACTTCAATAAAACAAAAGGTAAATTTGGGCAGTGGGGTGTCCCTTTAAAAATGTCACTGTTAAAATTAAACCCTAATCCTGCGTTTTCCTTAATATTAATTACACAATAAGCTTAAATTACTTAACCTGTAACCCTAAACCTGACAAGGTTATTCACTAAAATTGTTGAAAATTCTAAATGAAATTAACATTTTTAAGCCAAAATAGCCCAAAATGAAAATACAGCTGAATTGAGAAGCAATTCACACTTGAGTGAATAACCATGAAAGTGTCCCTCAAACCTAACCCTGAGAGCAAAAATTGTCACCACTATGAAAAGCACTGCAGTGAAACTGCAATATTAAGAATACAGCAGACACCCATTACAACATTGCTGAAATCATTCTTAAATACCCTCATGACACATTTTTTAATGGCAACTTTTTAGTGGATGCCCAGAAGTCCTCATTTGCATGACTGATTATCATTCTGTCCTGCCAGCCAATTAAACTATATAAGTGCTGGCAGATGTGTCACTGTGATAAGCCTTTTCAGTAAAGCAATCAATATACCAATTTTAACTGAAACATTTTCTATTTACTCTCATAGCCACTGTTAAGTACTAGTAAGAACTATATATTAAAGGTTTTCTGATATTCTGAACTTCGTTTTTTACAAACCTAAAATGGTAGCTTATCGTCATGGAACCATTAGCATGTCTCATTATTAGTATTTTGCTCCAGAATTCCATCCATTTTGATTTAATAACTAACGACCATGAAATGCTAAAAGAAAAATATTTTGATAGAGCTTTTATTAAAACACATGCACCTAAACGTGATGCTGAGTTCACACGTAATAGGTTCATGTATGACTGTTCTGCACCGCCATATCAGGGTTTCAGGTTCTGCTTCTGTAGTATCTCTATGTTTGTTTGTTTTAGCATATAGGGACATTAATGCTTTATTCCACCAGATGTGCTGAGTGAAGGACATTTCATGGTTTCATTATACATTCTTTTTCTATGTTCCTATGGGGGAAGTACTAATGCAAGAGCAACCATCATCCTTCATGCGTATTGGGTCTCCCCCACCAGCTGATGTCAGCGAGGAATGAGCGGAGGCAGAGCCAGTGGCGGATCCAGAGCCTGATCTCGGGAGGGGCACTTGTAGATTATTTAAAGAAATAATCCAGACACAATAACCACTACAGCTCAGTGTAGTGGTTATGGTGTCAATAGTGCCGGGACCCCCTCCCACAGTAAGTAGTCAAACCGTTTAAGAACAGTTTGACAACTTACCTGAGATCTGCTAAGAAATGGGGCTGTAGTAAGGTATAGGAGCAGTGGTGTGTGTGAATGGTGCAATGTGTAAGGGGTGCAGTGTGTGTGTGTGTGAAGGTTGTAGTGTGTGAGTGAGGGCGGCAGTGTATGTCAGGGATGCAGTGTATGTGTGTAACAGTTGCAGTGTGTGTGAGTATTGCAGTGTGTGTGTATGGTGGGCAGTATGTGTGTATGGGGGAGCAGTGTGTGTATGTGGGGGCAGTTTGTGTGTATGGCGGTGTGTGTGTATGTGGGGGCAGTATGTGTGTATGTGGGGGCAGTTTGTGTGTATGGCGGGCAGTTTGTGTGTGTATGTGGGGCAGTGTGTGTATGTGGGGCAGTGTGTGTGTATGGGGGGCAGTGTGTGTGCATGAGGGGCAGTTTGTGTGTATGGGGGCAGTGTGTGTATGTGGGGGGCAGTGTGTGTATGTGGGGCAGTTTGTGTGAATGGGGGGCAGTTTGTGTGAATGGGGGGCAGTTTGTGTGAATGGGGGGGCAGTATTGGGGGCAATGTATGTGTGTGTGTGGCTTTTTTTATTTTTTTATAAAATATTTTTTTTTTATTTAATTCGAATTTAATTATTATTATTTAATTATTTATCCGAAATATGTCCCCCCTCCCTTCTTACCTTTACTGGGGGGGAGGGGGGACATACTTCGATCCCTGGTGGTCCGGTGGGGGATTCATTGGTGGTTCCAGTGGGGAGAGTGAACTCTAGCCCGCGCTCCCGGGCTAGCTCTCGCGAGATTTGGAGCGTTGCCGTGGTAACCGCGGCAACGCTTCAAATCTCACGAGAGGAGGACCCGGAGGAGCTGCAGACTGAGCTCCGGGTCCTCTCTCACTCCCTCCCTCCCCTGCCGGCTCTCAACACAGTGCCTGCCATGCTGGCAGGGGAGGGAGAGGGAGACCGGCGGATTTCTCGGGGGGGGGGGCAATTGCCCCGTTGCCCCCCCCCCCTGGATCCGCCACTGATCAGAACGCGCTGAGTTTCTGATACATCCCTATCTTGGGACGGTCTAGGCATTGCGCGCGAGAGCGCTTTCTCCACCGAAGCGGCAACGGCCGCGTTGATCATAGCCTGTAGGATCTCTCTTGGGTAGGAGCGTCCATCCTGACCTTAGTGTGACCCTGGGGGTAGAAATGATACGTGTCACCCGGTTATACGGGAGTATGTATACGGACACAAGTGTTATAGCTGACCCCAGTAGAAACTCCTGTATAATCTACTAGGCCAGCGGCCGTAAGGGTTCTAGTGAGTAAGTGCCAGCATAGGAAAGGCACTGTCAGGGCAGGTCAGATGGAGGACACAGGCAGCATAGGCCAAATATATTGGCACAGTTGAAGTGCGTCAATCTTATGGGCACAGACAAAGCAGGCCAGTCATAGGGGCACACACAAAGCAGGCCAATCTTATGGGCACAGACAAAGCAGGCCAGTCATAGGGGCACAGACAAAGCAGGCCAATCTAATGGGCACAGACAAAGCAGGCCAGTCATAGGGGCACAGACAAAGCAGGCCAATCTTTTGGGCACAGACACAACAGGCCAGTCATAAGGGCACAGATAAAGCAGGCCAATGTTAAGGGCACAGATAAAACAGGCCAGGCATAGGGGCACAGACAAGGCAGGCCAGACTCTCTGTAAGTGTAAGGGTCACTTACAGGAGGTAACTAGTGTAGAAGGGGTTAAAGAAGGCATGCATGCAGTGAGAAAAAGATCCCCTCCATATGTGCAACCCAGCAAGGTCTGAAGCTGGGGTAACCCCTTACCCAGTAGGGGACAGAAAGCACAGAAAAAGTGTACACCACAGTAAATGGAGCAAGTCATAACCATAAATAACATATGAAAAAATCAAAAGTATGCCCCTGGTGGGATAGACCTCTTATGCCCACCTACAGATACCAGGGACACCTACAGGAGCTCATCAACACAGGGGGGTTCCCAGACCGCAGTCTAAACGGCTGGGGAACCCCCTGGAGGATGCTGACAGCAGTAAGTATGAGAACGGGTGGGGGAGGGAGCGTGAGAGTAGTGCTCCCTCCTCCCCTCGGCGGACACACGTGGTCGGCGAGATCACAGCCGCGACCAACGGCTACGTGGAGGAGGCTCCAGTCGGCGGTACAGTGCTTGTAGGCGAGCGCCCCGCGACCGGAGGCAGAAAATAAGGCGGGACCACCGGAGACGTACTCCGCGGTCCCGAGGGTCAGGAGAGGCGGCAAAAGACCAGCCCCACGAGGCCCCCGAGCCCAGAGTGAAATCCCGGCAGGGGGGGAAGAAACAGAATAAGAGAGGGGACAGGGAGGGGGATAAGGCCCCAAGGGAGGGAGAAGAAACCAACACTAACCCCTACAAAAGGGTTAGCTAAGAGTCCCTGTTAGAAAAACAGTCCCCAGACAATAAATATATAATAAATGACAACACAGCATATAAAAATATTAAATCCCAAAGCCATCCACTAATACTAGCAGGAGGCAGTGGTACTCTGACCTGTACTGATGCGGAGCAGCAAAGAAAGAGGAAATGGAATGTTGGGAAGGGACTTATATAGTCTCCTTACTGTTTTCTAATTGGTTGTTTACTCTCTGGTGTTTTGCTGCTGTGGAGTTCTAGTAAAGAAAGACTTAAGCAAATATGAAGCCTCCTGTCATGTTATAAAATTCCACTGCAGCGGTCATAAGTGTTTTTTTTTTTTTTAAATACACTGGTTTTGTACAGTTTGTCTTGTGTAAGGAAGTAATTAACCCTTACAAGTTTTAAGATGGGTAGCTCTGAAAGCACCCAAGGGGGATTTACGGCTTTGACTATTGTCAAGCATCACAAAGGACAAGGAGCAATTAAGAATGTTAAGAGGTTATTTTAGAAAGCTGGCATGCCCTCAGAGGGCACTCTAGACCCACATATATGGAGTGAATTTATGGCAAATTACAGAGGTTGGTTAGAAGATAATGACTTAGTAGAAGTCGCACAAAAATGGCATGATACTGCTGTTGAATTAACTAAATGTGGTTGTAGAGAAACCACCAAGAAAGGTGTACCACATTATCAATGTTTTGGACCTCTAGGGTCCCAGAGTAGGCAAGATCCTGGGAAAAATCTTGTAAACCCACCCCTTTATCAGGTTTCTGCAGGGACTCCTTTGGTCCCTAAAGGTCAGGCGATTTCCCTTTTACGGAGATCAAAACCCCTGTTTCCAGTAATATTACGCAGTGGGACTTCATATTGTGTCCCAGTAAGACCTATGGGTTCATTAGAGGAGGAAGGTAGTCCAGACTTAAAGGAACCCCTAGTTGCCCCCATAGACACCCCAGTGGGGCCATTAGCTCCACAATTGTCTACTCCCATGATACCCAAAGTTGAGAGCGTATACCATGAGAACAGACAGCCGAGCGCAGGTATCCAATACTGGGAAGAATATAAGCCCTGGACACCCAGTGAACAACTGGCAATAATACAGCAGCTGGCAGATGTTGAAAAGGCCCCCTTGGCTCTAGTCCAGTCTCTATCCACAATTCAAGCTACTTACCAGTGTACTTGGATGGATTTAAAACAGATTATGGCACTAAAAGCTGGCCCCATTTGGGCTAGAATAATTGCTAAATATACAGATGCCCATGAAGATAACCTCAGAAAAAGCAACATGCAAACAGATGAATGGTTTAGAACCAAGTCTGCATCTGGAGCATGCCATGTCACTGCAATGAGAGAATGGGCTAAGGTAAAGACAGAGGAACTAGCCCATAAATTAGGAGATATACTACAAGGGAAAGATGAATCTGTAGACACATTCTTCACCAAACTACAGATGGCTTGGGAGGCATTAGGTTACACTGATGTTGTAACCACTTGGACCAGACTTGAGTGGAGAAGTTTAACCTATGGTGATCTGGTGAAGTTGGCTAGGGGAGTGGAAGCTAATCTAAATACTAGAAGGAGGAGCACACCTCTAATGGCTGTAACTGTCCCTAGAGCTGGTGGAGATAGAAGGCAGGTAGACTGCTGGAATTGTGGCAGGAAAGGACACATTAAACGTAACTGCAAGTGTCCTCCTAAAAATAGAAAACCCCAGGATTCTAATGATAACTCCCATGACAACCAACCACCTCCACCACCTCCCCCCCCCCCAATAGGAAATTGGCAAACCAGTGTCCCTACATATTATAAATATCCCTGACTCTGCAGGACCCTCACCCATTATCAATGTTACACTGCCCGGGGACCGAATAGTCCCTTTCCTGTTGGGCACTGGCGCTGCTAAATCAATGTTACAGGAAAAATATGTGTTCCCGAATGAGAAATCTAATGATGTATTATCATGTGTAGGGGTGGATGGTATCGAAAATGACATTCCCCTTACACACAAGCTGAAATTGAAGCTACACGACTCTACTGCCCTTGTAACAAGGGTACTTGTCAGCCCTCATGCCCCTGCTAATCTACTAGGCAGTGATATACGGTCTGCTCTTAGTGCAAATATCCAGTATAGCCCCACTGCAAAAGTAACATTGTCTGTGCCTTTGGAGGACAAACAAATGATATCTCTTTCAAATGTTCTGGCAACTCTCACTATGCCCAGCCTTGTGCCAGAACCTACCATTGACTTGTCCTCAGTACCTGATTCCTTATGGGCTACAGGGAAGACTGATACAGGCAGACTCTCTGTGCCCCCAGTCAAAGTGAATCTCCTGCCCGGAGCCAAACCTCCCTGTCAAAAACAATACCCCCTAAGCCCAGCACAGTAAGATGCTATTTCGCAATCTGTGCAGGAGTTTCTGCAGGCAGGGGTAGTTGTCCAGACCACCTCCCCTTGTAACACACCATTGTACCCAATTAAGAAAAAGCAAGAGAAAGGGAAACCTGTGGTCTACCGTATGGTACATGATTTGAGGGCAATTAATGCTGTAACTGAACTGATTGCCCGTAATGTTCCCAACCCACACACCTTGTTGGCACAAATACCACCCTCCTCTAAGGTATTTACTGTTATTGACTTGGCAAATGCATTTTTCAGTGTTCCCCTGGATCCCGACAGTCAGTTTTTATTTGCATTTACACATAAACACAAGCAGTACACTTGGACAGTATTGCCAGAGGGCGCACAAAACTCACCCACTATGTACAGCATGGCTATGGCCCAGATTCTTGAAGAGTGGCAAAGGCCAAATAACGTGATTTTATTGCAGTATATTGATGACCTACTCCTATGTTGCGATAATCTGGAATCTTGTATTGTAAACACTCTTTCCTTGCTAAAATTCTTGGCAGAAGCAGGCTGTAAAGCGACAAAAACGAAACTGCAAGCTTGTGTAGAGAAAGTTATTTTCCTAGGACATGGCATTTCCCAGGGCATAAGACTGCAATTCAAAATATTAAACCCCCCCAGCAGCCTAGCCCAGCTCCGCACATTTTTTCGGTTTGATATCTTACTGCCGTCCTTGGCTGCGTTCCGTAGCAATCTACATGCAACCACTGTATGATTGTCTTGCCAACGAAAACAAACCGTTTAAATTAACCCATGCGGCAGAAAATGCCTTCTATACCCTTAAGTTACTGGTAACGTCAGCTCCGGCACTGGGTCTCCCAGATTACAGAAAGAATTTTAACCTGTTCTGTACTGAGCAATCAGGCTATGCTACATCTGTCCTTACACAGGACCATGGTGGTAAACAAAGACCAATAGCATACTACTCCACCAGATTGGACCCTGTTGCCAGGGGTGTCCCCTCATGTGTTAGGGCAGTGGCGGCTGTTACTGCCATCCTGGACAAAGCCACTGATATACTGATATTGTCTTAGATAACCCAGTAACCATATACACACCGCATGATATCAACAGCATCAACCAAAACACATACATACTGCAAGGCATCTCAAAATACAATGTGCCTTGCTTATGCCACCTAATGTTACTCTTAAAAGGTGTATGGTGTTAAATCCATCTACATTTCTTCCCCTGGATTTAAAAGTGGGGAGTGGAGATAGTGGGAATGGTACTTGTAATTCTGATCTTTTTGTAAATTCACTTTCACCAGATGAGTTAGCTGATGCCCAGGTACCCCATGATTGTGCAGCACTAAATGGCACAAGAAACAGCAGGTTTTTTGCATGTAATTGATTCTCCATTATCTAATGCAGATTTTAAGTTTTTTGTAGATGGTTCCAGATATGCTGATGAGAAGGGTAATTTCCACACTGGATATGCTGTAGTCTCTGCACATGAGGTAATAAAAGCTGAACCACTCGCTCCTCACTGCTCTGCACAGGAGGCAGAGCTGAAGGCACTCGCTGAAGCGTGTAAAATGGCTTCTGGTAAGACTGCTAATATTTATACAGACTCTCGCTATGCTTTTGGTATAGCCCATGATTTTGGCCCTATATGGCGGGCTCGTGATTTTCTCACCTCAGCAGGAACTCCAATCAAGAATTCTGAAGCTGTGAGTGCACTTATGGACGCTATCCTGCTACCCACTCAAGTAGGCATCATCAAGGTGGCAGCTCACGTGAAGATCACAGATGAAATCTCAAGAGGAAACCACAAAGCAGACAAAGCTGCCAAGCAAGCAGCAATTCAAGTTCAACAGGTAATACCTTCCTACAAGTTGTTCTTACAGATGATGCCATTGACTACAATATACTGTTGAGCTTACAAAGACAGGCAAGCAAGGAAGAACATGACCTCTGGAGGAAACAAGATGCAGAACCTGATGATGACAGAATGTGGAGGAAAGGTAAAAGACTGTGTTTGCCACGAGTGTTGTACCCCATGATGGCCCAGATTGCCCATTGACCTACACATCTATCCAAGATGCACATGAACAGCATAGTAAACACCCATTGGATAGCACCCGGATTTACTGTTGTAGCAGCTAAACACACCCAAGCTTGCATGATTTGTGCTAGAAACAATCCAGGACAGGCTGTCAAAACACCAAGTAAGCACACACCAAGGCCACTTTACCCATTTCAAAGACTGCAGATAGACTATATTCAACTACCTAAGGTAGGAGTGTATGAATATGTGTTGGTGTGCATTGATCTCTTTTCAGGTTGGCCTGAGGCCTACCCAGTGTCGAAAGCCACAACGAAGGTCACAGCAAGTAAGCTTCTGAAGGAACTGGTATGTAGATATGGAGTACCTGAAGTGATTGAAAGTGACAGAGGTAGCCATTTCACTGGGGAAATAATGCAAGAAATTATGAAAGCCTTAGGGATCAGTCCACACCCCTATCACCCCCAGAGTAGTGGAAAAGTAGAAAGGGCAAATGGCACCTTAAAGAACAAGATTGCAAAAGCCATGCAAGACACAGGAAAGCCCTGGACTGAATGCCTTCCCCTAGCACTCTTTTCTATGAGATTCACCCCCAATTCCAGACATGGCCTATCCCCTTTTGAGATCCTGTTTGGATGTGCCCCAAAGACAGGCCTCTATTTTCCCCAAACCCTCCAGATGCAACATGGTAGTATGACTGCCTATGTTCAGGCCCTACACCAATGATTAGGCAGGGTGCATAAACAAGTCTTTGATTCTATTCCAGATCCAGACTCTGAATCTGCAACTCACAAACTGCAGAATGGTGATTGGGTGGTGATAAAGACGCATGTGAGGAAAGGACTTGAACCACGCTTTGACGGTCCATTCCAAGTGCTCTTGACTACGGCTACCTCAGTGAAACTAGAAGGAAATACCACGTGGATACACGCCAGTCACTGTAAACAAGTCACTCCGACTGATCCACCGACACAAAGCTGTTCTTATCCTTTACCATTTTTATGCTGTGTTCGGATATGCTACTCTGACTTGAGACCAGAAAATAATAATGCATGGCAGGAAAATATATGGTTGCAGATAGCAAAGGCTTTTAATTTAACCTCCTTTTTGCCTCAACCCTCTCCTCAGTACTGAAAACGCCATAGAATCTTGTCTTATAGCTGTTCCTACCCCCATCCCACTGTTGAGGAAGTACCTACATACCCATAGACCCCATAAATCTCTACAACTATATTCTTATGCCTTCAACCCACTGGTAGGCAAGCCTCCCCAGCCCTGAAGACAATTAATGTGACAGGCGCTGAACTATGTTGGTCTTTTTCATGTAATTGTTCAAGAGACCCTAATACTGAATCCCTGTTTTGCCCCACATGGTGGAAAAATACCACGAATTGTAGAGCCCTGAGCACCACTATGAATTGTACCAAAACTCACCAAGTTATGAGTTACCACTACAATGTCTATCTTCCTAAAGGATGGACTTTCTCCTGTGGAAATATTACTTATGCCTATGTCCCAGGTAACATTACAGGAGGTCCCTGTGCAATCTCTCGCCTAACCATGACCATGTTTTCCAAATCTGACCTGATCACTAAAACCACCCAGCTACACAAACTGCTGAGAGACAGGAGAGATGTTAAAAACACCCTTAATGCAGATTGTAACCCTGAAATCACTCTCTTATCTAAAGCCGAATACTCTGCCCTAGCGTACACCTTGGTAGGAGTCCCAGGCTTAGCACTGTATAATACCCGAGTAGTTAATGCTGTAGCCTGTTCCCTTGGAAAAGGTTTAAGTGCCACTTCAAAGGCCCTAGAAGAGCTACTTATGGACAACCAGGCAAATAAGAAGGCAATCCTAGAGAAAAGAGCAGCCATTTACTACTTACTAATGAAACATGACTTAGGCTGTTAAGCTATTGAAGGTATGTGCTATTTTAACCTATCTGACCATGGCACTATGATCCATAAACATATAAAAGATTTACATGTCTTAGTACAGGATATCAAACAGGATAACGGCTTCTTTGGAGATTGGGATTGGACATTTGGGCTAGGAACATGGTTGAATTTACTAATTAAGCAAATTTTATACCTTTTGCTATTAGCTGTATTTGTCATTATGGCCATTTTTCTAACCTTTAGATTTTTTTCATGTCTACTAACCTCTCTATGTAAAAGCAAACCTACTGTTGGTCGTACCTTAACTTACATTCCAGCTCCGACTTCGGAAAGGTTTTATGATGTTACCTCGTCTAACAAATGAAGGAACTCTCCTCTGCTGCTTCTGGTGGTCTCTCAGTCCAAGGGAACCGTGGTGAAGCAATAAATGAAAGTCCCACAGGCTTTGGCTAGCAGGCCTGGAAATACCTTGGATATTTGGGTGACCCTTGGATCAAGCTTATAGGTGTCATATAATGATATCCTATATTAAAATTGGCTAACTTGGACTCAGGAAATGCTTGATGCCTAAACAACACTTAAGACCATATATGTCTAGTTCCGGGAGCAGAGAGCCCCCACCTAAGATGTCTCTTCTCTAATCTTTTTGCTCTTTCTTACCTTGGAACTTATTTGTTATGTGTACATGACGTTCATCCCTATGTCTTATCTGTACTCCCTTCCTATTACTGTTCTAAGAGTATTTGCACGTAAGCACTTACTTTTTAATGTATAAAACCCAGCTGATGAAAAAAAGGTCAGAGGCTTATTTTGAATACCAACAGGTGTCTGGTGTCTAATTCTCGCTTCTCCAAGTGCACTTGTAACAACAATTTGGGCTTCCTCTGAATATAACAAAGATCAACATTTCTGATCCACAACAGTATCTACCCGCCATGCTTCTGTACCAATATGCTATATGCCTGTTGATGCTGTCGTGGCACCATAGGATTGTTTGTAACTAACTGCACTGCAAATATAAAAAAAAATGAAAAAGAGGCATTGTAAACAACATAACCAATACAGTTCAATAGAGTTTAACAATTACACAATTTAATATGAAGCGGTTTGTCACATAACGTTTGGGCTTGATTAGAAGAGAAAGGCTTGCAAAGACAGCAGACAAGAGATGTGACGTTTTTAGATATAGCTCCAATTAAAAAAAGCTTTATAAAAGGCGTACTATAGTGCTAGGAATACAAAGTTGTATTCCTTGCACTATAGCTCCCACGCATTCCACCCCTGCAGTAATAAAACCCTTACTGTATTAACCCGATTCTAGTGCTGACGTCCTCTCCATCATTTAAGGGTATATCTACTAAACAATGATTTTTATTTTGTGGCAGTGGAGTGTCTATTTAACCCCTTAGTGACCAGTGACTTATCAGGTACGTCCGACAAAAAACGCTCCTTAAGGACCGCGGACATACCTGATATGTCCTGGGGTAATTAGAGCTCTGGAAGCGATCATGATCTCTTCCAGCAGCTCTAATGGTATTACAGTGATGCCTCAGTGTTGAGGCATCGCTGTAATACCCCCCTCACTGCCGGGGGCCAGCGGAGATTACTGGGTGATTGCTCCCCCTGGAGCGATCACTTCCGGGTTGCTCCACGTGGAGCCCAGTAGTTAGACAGAGCATCGGAAGCCTTCAGGCTGGCTTCCGATGCTCTTTCTCTACTGAATACCTCTAGGGGTCGAGGCACTCAGTATATATATATATATATATATATATATATATATATATCTACATATATATATATATATATATATATATATATAAAAATAGTAATAATGTTTGAGCCAAGAGAGTCCCCATCTGTAAAAAAGGACCGCTCTAAAATTGCTGCCAGCAAGGGGACTGCCAGAACTGACAGGCAGTCCCCTGCTGGTTTAAAAGTTAAAATAAAGTTTTAAAAAGTAAAAGTAAAAAAATAATAATATATATATATATATATATAATGTCATACTAAGTGTATTTTTTTATTAAAATATACATATATTAATATAAAAATACACTTAGAGTAAAATTACATACGTGTATATATATATATATATTATATATAATAACTATATATATTGTGTATATATATTATAAAAAATAAATAATTAAAAATAAAAAAAATTCTATATATATATGTAATTTAATTCTAACTGCATTTTGATATTAATATATATATATATCAAAATACACTTAGAATGAAATTATATATATCTACGACCGTGGACGTACTATGTACGTCCGACAAAAAATAAGTTGCTAAGGACCGCGGACGTACCTAGTACGACAGCGGCAAATAGAAGCCCTGGACTTACCTGGACCTGCGATCCAGCAGTTCCCCTGCAGCAGCTCCGGCCACATCGGCCCTCCAGGGCCATGTGATCACCATGATCACATAGCCGCAATAGGAGTCTAGGAGCTGCCCGCAGGGGGGCTGTCTGAGCTGTCAGACAGTCCCCCAGGCTGCTAAAAAGTAAAAAAAAAAAATATATATATATATAATATACATATATTTGTATAATATGTTATAAAATAAGTAAAACATTTTATAATATATTATACATATTTATGATTTCATTATAAGTGTACTTTGAGATATATACACATATATCTCAAAATACACTTATAATGAAATCATATATATGCATTATATATGTATAATTTATTATAAAATGCTTTAATTATAATATATTAAACATATAGGAAATAAAAGTGTGTGTCTATACACACACACACATATATTATATACAAACACATATGTATATATGTGTGTGTGCATATATATACATACATATACACACACGTATTATGTGTGTGTGCATATATATATATATATATATATATATATATATAAATTTAAAAAGAAATAAAAACGCTAACTTTGGCCAGCATTTGTGCCTAAGTGGCTACTACAAAAGACTGGAAATACCCCATTTGGAATACCCTGGGTTGTCTACATTTGAAAATGGTATGCCATGATGGGGTTATTTCACATTCCTGGGCTACCATATGGTCTCAAAAGGCACAACAGACCCAGCAAACCAATCTGGCAAACTGAATTGGGCATGCCCTTTATTGACCCTGTAACTTTCCAAAACACCATAAAACCTGTACATGGGGAATATAGTTATACCTGGGAGACTTCGCTGAACACAAATATGAGTGTTTACAAAAGTAAAACCTATCGAGACGATGACATCACCAGTAAAAGTGCAGTTTTTGTGTAAAAAATGCAAAAAACAAATAATAATGCTAGCTTTGGCAAGCGTTTGTAGCTAAGTGGCTACTACAAAAGACTGGAAATACCCCATTTGGAATACTGTGTGTTGTTTACTTTTACAAATGGTATGCCATGATGGGATTAATTTTCATTCCTGGGCTGCTATACGGTCTGAAAGGCAACATAGGTCCAGCAAACCAATCTGGCAAATTTCAATGTGCCAACATGGAATAAAAACCCATAAAACCTGTACATTGGTGGCACTATTGTACTCAGGAGATGTTGCTGAACACATATTGTGGTGTTCTTTGTCAGTAACCCATAACAGGAACTTAGAATCCATGCCTAAAGTATAATGAGAGAGAAAAATAACACAAAAAAATGACTACCCAAAAGTTTGACAAAGACTGGTGGTAGAATTAGTACATGGAAAGTGTTAAAATACCACCATTTGAAATACCTTAGGGTGTCTACTTTTTAAAAATGTATGGTTTGATGGGGGTAAATTACATTGGCCGACTTCAGAAATATCTCAAATAGGACATGGGTGCATGATGACCAGCTGTGAAAATTCCAATTTGGAAAACTGGAATGCACACACCCTACAAATAAGGTCTTTTAGACCCCAGAGAACCAGACACACCTATACATGGGTGGTATCACTGTACTCAGGAGATATTGCTGAACACATATTTGGGTTTTCTTTGTCAGTAACACATAACGGGAACTGAGAATCCATGGCTAAAGTACAATGTGAGAGAAAAATAACACAACAAAAATTACAACCCAAAAGTTTGACAAAGACTGGTGGTAGGATTAGTGCATGGAAAGCGTTAAAATACTGTTTGAAATACCCTAGGGTGTCTACTTAGGGGGTAAATTACATTGTCCGGCTTCAAAAAGCCGTCAAAATACCCCAAGTTTAATACCTTAGGTTGTCTTCTTTTAAAAAATATATACATGTGAAGGGTGATTCAGGGATTCCTGACAGATATCAGTGTTACAATGTAACTTGCGTTAATTTTTTTTTTTTTTTTTAAATGGTTTGGAAATAGCAAAGTGCTACTTGTACTTATAGCCCTATAACTTTCCAAAAAAGCTAAAACCATGTTAACATTGGGTATTTCTAAACGCAGGACAAAATTTAGAAACTATTTAGCAGGGGTGTTTTGTGGCGGTTGTAGATGCGTAACAGATTTTGGGGGTCACAGTTAAAAAAAGTGTGTTTTTTAAAAAAAAATGTCATGTTTTATAATTTTTTTAAAGTTAAATATATGATGAAAATAATGGTATCTTAGAAAGACCATTTAATGGTGAGAAAAATGGTATATAATATTTGTGGGTACAGTATATGAGTAAGAGGAAAATTACAGCTAAACACAAACAACGCAGAAATGTAAAAGGAGCCCTGGTCCTTAACTGTAAGAAAATGTAAAAACGATCTGGTCACTAAGGGGTTAATAACAGACAGTCCAGCACACTCAACCAATCAGTGGAAGAAATAATTGTAGATTTTATTAAGACATGGAGGCTCCTATTATGCTGCACTCTTTCTTTATTTTCCTCAGCAGCAAAGAAAAAACTTTAACAATAAGATGAACACAGGAAACAGTCCTTAACACATATCTTCCCTGGCAACCAATCAGCCAATCAGGTTCCACTCTCCAGCATAATAGGCGGTGTTCTTATGACAATTTCCTCTTTCTTTGCTGCTCCCTCAGTTAAGTACACTGATCCCATAGTTCTTAACTGTGGGATTATTATTACTATTGTTATTAAGTGTTCTTGCATAGCAAGACCACTTAATGTTATCTCACATATACATTATTATAGCCAAATTTTCCACCCTAACTCCTCCCACAGTTTTTACACTACATAGACAGTAATATACCGTGCGGATTGTTCCCAATTGGATTGCTATTACTTTGTGGAACGTTTCGTCGAATGGTTCACGGAATATCATCGTTCTTGTGGCGAAATTGGTCCCATAGGAATGAATGGCAAAATGTTCAAAACTAGAGTGGGAGCTGGCAAAAGCTGAAAAATCAGGACATGATTTCTAAACTGCCACCACTCCCTCATTTTCTTTTATTTTTTTGTGAATATAATTTTTTTTATTTATTTGTTGTTCAAGTGTTAGGAAAACAGTGAGACTCGCAGGTCTCCAAGGTGAGTTACCATAAGAAGAAAAACGCTAATGTCAGTTCAGGCTCGCAGGCCCACAATGTTGACGGACTTGCAAGTCCCTGTTATCGAGTTTCATGCATCTCATATAATACATGTCTGTGTCATAATTGGTGTAAACCCTGTTTACAATTTCTGTCTTTGGTTAAGGTTAGAGAATAATATGTGCTTTTTCAGAGTGTATAGGGTGAGCACCGTTAACTGCGATCTTTAGGAGGAAGGTAAAAGTAGGTTCCCTTTCCTCCTTTTTCTTTTGTCCCCCCCTGTGTTATGGCCCGTGTCCTGCACCCCATCTCCCTACAGGCGGTTAAGACGGGGCGAGGGGGTAGTGCCCATCTCCCTATAGGGTGGGACCTCAGCAATCATCACCCAGAGCCGGGGGAGACCCCGTCCGCGTGGCGTGTGAACAACTGGGCTTTGCCGCTTTTGTAGTGTCTAGCCGGTGGGACATGTTCGGCTCCAGACCCGGCCCCTCCCCCGGCTCCGTACGGCAACAGCAAGTGATGGTGTATGGTGGGGGTCCCTATTAGTGTGCATAACTGAGCCAAGGGGCACCTGCTTCAAGCGTGGGTCCTCTGTGTTTTCGCAGTATCCCAAATACCTTTCACAAAGTTAACCAGTGCTTCGGTGCTCTTGAGCTATTATTCGGTTCGTGTATATCAGTTGCAGTTCATACTTTGTACATGCTGGGGCTCCCAGGCCCCCCATTCCAACCTCTATTGTTAGGTGACTCGCAGGTCCCTTCATCTTGGGTTGTACAGTTTTGCCTCGGGTGGGTTCATGTGTCCCTCCCTTTAATGTCTTGAGTGTCGTGTGTGAATTTAGGGGTGTGTCCGTGTCGTGGGTTTTGGGTTCCACGATTCCGGATGGGTGTTTGTGTGCATTTCGGTGTTACACCCGGGCTGTACGGAGGTTATTATGTCTGTTCGTCGTGTGTGTCACAGGGGTTGCATCCCCTGTAGGTCGGGGGGTACATGTGGTTCAGTGTGTGTTTCTGTTCAGGGCTCGAGTATCCCCCGTAGCGGTAGGTGCGTTGGAGTGGATTGGGGTTGTTGTACCGCGTGGGTCGTTAGGGTGGGGGGGAGGATAGTCGGGGGTGGGGGATCTGGGTTAGTCAACTGTCTGTTGTCGTCTGTCGTCCGGAGTGTGAATTCTGAGTCCTATCTGTCAGTGTTGTGGTGTCCGTCGGTTCTGAGTTCCAGTTGGAATCCTTCCTTTGCTGTCTCAAGGATCCAGTACGTCCATATGTCCATGTAGGCCGTTGGGGTAGTATTGGCCGTCATAGTCAGTTCCTCTGTTGTCCTGAGTTCCTCCATTTGGCTGAACCAGGTCATGAGTGGGGGTGTTACGTTTTGTTTCCAGAATTGGGGGAGCACTTGTTTGGCTACATTAAGTATTTGAATGGTCATGGATTTTTTGTACTTAGAGTGGGGAACAGGAGTGTGGTGTAGGATCATTGCTGCCGGTTCCGGGGGGGCGGTGCATCTGTGAATTTCTCTAGCATTTTATGTATCCTCTCCCAATATGGTTTGATCATTGCGCAGTCCCACCAGATGTGTTTTATAGTGCCTTCCTCTCGTTCGCATCTCCAGCATAGGTGTCTCCCCCATCATATCCCTTAGTTTTTTACATTTCCCTCCCTGAAGGACGTGGTGCAAGCATGGGGATATGTCTGGGAGGATGTCTTTGAGGGCTCTTGGGTCTAGTCCCGGGGGGAAATCGTCGTTGTGTGTCAGAGGCAAGAGGGGAGAGGGGTACGGTGACATGTTCCCCCTCCTCGCAGCCCACTCCACACTTTTAGGGTATGTTTTGTGTATATGGACATTTCGCCCAACTCGGCCGTATCCCGGCCCCAGAGGAGTCCTGAGAGCGGCCTGCCTGCACCTGTCTCCTCCACCGTCTTCCATAGTTTGGGGATCCGCTCGTGCGGTAGGCATGCTAACGTTGAGGATGAATGATTTACTGTAGTTAGTTATTAGGTATTCCCTGATTTTCTCGCCTATGAGGGCCGCGACCTCCAGTTTGGAGAGTAAGTATTCGTTAAGTCTCCATTTCGGGGACGTGGGACGGAAAAGCGGTGATTTAAGTTTAAGTGATACTGGGGCATGATCTGACCAAGTGGCCACTCCGATTGTTACTTCGGACACTAGAGAGAGGTCGTAGTGTGTAATGTATATGTGGTCTATTCGGGAGTAAGAGTTGTGCGGGTGGGAGTAGAAGGTGAAGTCTCTTACGTCCGGGTGGTGGGCTCTCCAGCAATCGACAAGGCGTCGGTTGCGGAGTAGCGATTTAATATTCTGGAGTTGTTGTGTTGGAACGTGGGAGGCGCCCGATGAGTTGTCCCATGTAGGGTCAAGTGCTATGTTAAAGTCCCCCCCAGTATGAGGGTCCCTTCTGTGAAGTCTTGGAGTTTGCGGAGTGTCTGTTTGAGGAAGCGATAGTGCTGTTTATTTGGGGCGTAGATGTTTGTGAACGTGTACTGGTGGTCTGCGATCTTCCCTTTGAGGAATAGGTACCTGCCCTCGTCGTCTGACATGCATCCCCCCTCCTGGAACGGCACCCCCCTATGGAGAAGCATTGCTGTCCCCCTGGCCTTACCCCCTTGATAGTCACTGTAGTATCCTTGCGTGTGGTGTTGGTTGGTCAATTTGGGTCTGGTCCCCCTTTTAAAGTGGGTTTCCTGTGTCATGACTATGGAGGCCCTCTGTTTATGAAAATCTCTCAGTGCTCCCGATCTCTTCTCTGGTTTATCTCTTTTGCATCTAATGTGAGGATATGTAGATAGTCAGGGGTCAGTGCCATGTCGTCAAGTCAGGTCGCTATTAGTGGGTATTGTGGAAGTGTCTTTGTCCTAAGCCTCTGTAGTGTGAGTGGTCTTGGGGTGTCTCGTGCGCTGTGGTCAGTATCAGGTTGGGGTGTCAGGGGGTGGGGTGGAGTGGGGGTTAAGGGGTTAGGGTAGCGAAGAAGTCGTGGAAGTTTCCAGAAACCTTCGGTGGTCGCGTCACTTTCTCATGACGGCTAGGTATAGGTGTTGGGGAGCCTCAATCCACGGCACCACCAGTGATGCACGTGTGATGCTCACCTTCTGGGTGACGCCTCGCCTACTGGGCAGTGGTTGGGTGGTCGGGCGTCTGAGACGGTGTCCTAGTGTTGTGTCCGGTCCCGTGACATCCCTGTGCGGCTCCTCAGTGATAACTCAGTGGGAGTGTGTTTGTTTTCCCCACCTCGGTGTGTGGTGGCTCTAGGGCCTGTATGGGTGTTTGTCTTTGTGTGCAGCATTTTTGTTTGTGGCAGAGTAGTAAGACATAAACAGTAACATTAACATTTGGTCTCAAATCACAACAGGTGAAACAAAATTCTGACAGCTCTTTCACAGTTCAGGGTCATACACATTTTGTCCCAATCCCCCTGTTCCCCAGGTTCCCGCTGGCCAGTGTGTCTAGCGTGTGCCTTTGCGTCCCTTGTGTCTTCATGGTGTGTTCGCTATCTCTCTCGAAGTGCTTGGGTGCCCTTGGTAGAGGTTAGGGTGTGGGTGTTTGTTTCCCCAGGGTCGGTAACAAACTGATGTGGCCTTGTCTTGTCCCTGTGGCTATTCTGGGTGTACATTCCTTAGTTATTCCCTGTGTGTCCATGTCTCCTCCCCTCTAGTCCTGGTAGTGTGTGGCTGTTTAGTGGGTGGTATTGGGCTGATTGTCCTGGCTGTAGCCGCCTCCCTCTTTCCTCGGGTGTTCAGCCGGTGCCCCCACCCCAGGTGTGCCCAGTCAGCGTCACCCCTCGCCTGCTCCCCGAGGTTCGTCACAGGGCAGGTGAGTTCCGGCGACCGGGCCCAGCCAGGGGGGTAGGCACCCCTTCGTTCCGCTTACCATCAGTAAAAAGGGGTCTAAGTGTGTGCCCCCTATACCCTTCCGCCCTCCCCTTGCTTTATTACATATAGTCCAAGAGCAGTCCGGCAGGCCGAGGGGCTCTGCGGGGCTGGACGTCTGTGCCGTCCCTTGCCGGCTCTCTGCTTGGGTTCCGAGGTTCGGTGCACCTCTTTATGTCTCAACTATTGTGTCAGTATGGGACCCTGTTGGGTGTGCCGACCCGTAGGCTGTATACTTGCGGTTCTGGGGAGTTCAGCGCGGTGCGTCCAGTGACTCTGGTCTCGTGAGTCGGGAACAAGTAATGTCCATCTAGCCTTCAGCTGGAGCCATGCGGGTTCCTGGGGAGGTAGGCAGGTAGTGCATGGTCCTTTACATGTTGGTGCCCGTGGGGCATGTGGTCTGTTGTCTTGTTCTTCTGGGCCTGGAGGGCTGCTGTACCAGGCGTTGTACCTCAGTTGAGAAGGTGTAAAAGGCCGTTGGATCCTACCATGTCATTTGTATCGTGGGTAGTTGTAGTTCCCTTATAAGGTCCCTCAGGTCTCCCTCGTTCTTCACCGTGAAGGGGCCGTTACGCATGGCCCGTCGGTATGCCAACGTTGCAGGAGATAGGTCTGGGTACAGTTGTATTTCAGTGCCATTGTGGATAATTTGTCTTTTATCTCTGGCGCTTTTCAGAATGTCTTCCTTCACTTGGAAGTGCGTTAAGCAACATACTACGTCTCTAGGGGGGGAATCATATGGACCTCTGGGTCTAAGGGATCTGTGCGCCCTAATAAATTCGATGGGCGCTGTATTCGGCCTTTGTAGGAGGGTGTTAAAAATCTCCGTGAGGGTATCACGTATCGGGGTGGCCTGGTCCAATTCCTCGGGTAGGCCCCTGATTCTGATGTTCTGCCGCCTCCCCCGGTTATCTAAATCCTCCATTTGGCGCAGTGTTACTTCTTGCCGTTGTATGATGCCCGTGGTAGCGTTCTGCGCCAATGTCACATGGTCGCAGTCTGCCTCTAACTGGGCCAGTTTGTGTTGGATCCCTTGCATGTCCTCCCTCAGGGCCTGGAGTTCCCCCTTGATGGACTTAGGGAGGGTGGCATTTGCCTCCTTTAGGTCAGTTTTCATGGGTAAGTTGCTTATAAGTGATACCCAGTCCAGCTGGGGTGGGAGTGGGTCGGGTGTGTGTTGTACCTGTTCATGGCGTCCGTCTTGGGGTGAGGCCGGGCGGGCTAGACCCGAGGCTTCAGAGTCGCTGGGGGCCTGGGAAGCGTGGTCGGCCTGGGCCGTGAGGTACCGACTGGCGGTCGGTGGAGACCCCCTCGGGGTGTTGGTGGCCACTGCACCCTGTTGTGGCTTGTGAGTTTTGCCCATGTTTGTGCGGATTGGAGCTGGTTAGGCGGGTATGGGTGCTGAGCCTGCAGGGAGCTCGTGGTTCACGCTGCCATTTCGTCCGGCGTCCAAGCCACGCCCCCCCACTCCTTCATTTTCAAGCCCACCTACACAAATCCTATATCAAAACATTCAGCTATCCCTGCTGCCACTAAAAATGGCTAAGCCATAGTCCTGATAGTTTTCACAATATGACCATTTGTTTGCAACTCATGCCGTCCATTGACATTCTTCACTCTAGCCAGCTCAAACGTGAAGGGCAATTTCTAATCTGCGACTGTGCCTTCATTTTTAATACTTCAGAGACATGCATCAAGATGTAGGTCTGGGTCTTGTGATTCTCACAATATAAAGCTCTTCGCTGTAGGATGTATAGTTTTTAAAATACAACCGTTTGAAAATGGCAAGCGCCAAAATACTCTGACCTGTGCCAGGCTGGAGCAGCAAGTGATGTCATAGACAGGGCTTTTTGTACACCTGCTAATGTTTTTATAAATGTATGTTTTAATGTAACTGTGAAGCACTTTGGGCAACAACGTTGCAATTAAATGTGCCATATAAATAAATAATAACAGTTACTCCGCCCACTCCAGTTGTAGACTACTGGTGGAGGCAAGAACACTTCACACAATTTCCCCAGAAATTGTAGCTTTTCTAGTTACTATTATTATTGCTAATGTTAATACTGTTATTACTATTATTATTAGTACTAAGTTTAGTATTACTGCTCCTTTTTTTTTTTTTTACAATTATTATTTTACTACAATATTTTCTGACTACGTTCATTAAATTGTTGGGTCTTTTTTTTTTTTTTTTTTTTTTTTATTTTTGTAGTGCATACGTTGGTAACAGTTGCTTGTGAGGTACCCCAAAGGCAGTCCTCTAGCACATTTCAAACAGTTCAAAATAAAGGTACATGATAGTTCTAGCACGTATTTTATATATGAGGGTAAGTCGAGTAGTAAACAGTATGTATTGTTGTAGCTTAATCGCTACCATAATATAATGACAACGGTGCACAATTTTATGTTTAGGTTAAGAGTTAACCTAAGTGTACATAAGTTTAAACATTCTAATAGGTTTACTTGTAGGTAAGCTACCAGTTTCTCTATAGATTTTAAACAGGCTGAAGTTACCATAGTAGTTTGTGCCAGCTAGTACAATGGTGCAGATCGTTTGAGTGTTTATGTGGCAATTGTTAATGATTTAGAACAAGCTTAATTTGGGTCTAACCATAAGTACTGGGTGCTTTCAGGTGTGTGTGCGCACCTAAGAGTCGCTTGGAGGATGTTATATGTTGGGCGGGAGCGAGGTAAGGTTGTGACAGACATATTATAACAGTTTAAGATTAACTATAAAAGCTTCAAGTAACTGGTCTGCGCTTTCAACACTATGCTGCCGTGTGGGATTCAAGAAAGATAAAACAAAGCACCGTTAAGGCATCATAAAGTGAAGTATCACTCTGGAACATTTGTTAGTGTCCTCTCTGTCAAGTGTGTCCCAGCGTGTGGGAATGCTCAAATAAGGTTTGCGGACAGTTGTCTGGAATTCAAGAGGCCTAGACATTAAAGGACCACTATAGTGCCAGGAAAACACACTCATTTTCCTGGCACTATAGTGCCCTGAGGGTGCCCCACCCTCAGGGTCCCCCTCCCACCCGGTTCTGGAAAGGGGTTAAAACTTACCTTTTTCCAGCTCTGGGCAGAGAGCTCTCCTCCTCTTCGTCGGCTGAATGCGCGCGCATTCAGCTGGTCACATAGGAAAGCATTCATAATGCTTTCCTATGGACGCTGGCGTGCTCTCACTGTGAAAATCACAGTGAGAAGCACGCAAGTGCCTCTAGCGGCTGTCAATGAGACAGCCACTAGAGGAAATAGGGGAAGGCTTAACCCATTCACAAACATAGCAGTTTCTCTGAAACTGCTATGTTTATGAAAAAATGGGTTAACCCTAGAAGGACCTGGCACCCAGACCACTTCATTAAGCTGAAGTGGTCTGGGTGCCTAGAGTGGTCCTTTAAGCATTGGGCCTCTCCCTGATATAGTCACCAGTCAATCGATGCCTAAGGTCGGAAAGAGCCAGGTGGGTGCTGTTGGGCGGTGGAGGGTTGAGGTTCCCCTGCCTGTGGGCCGCAGAGGGGTACCCTGTCCGCGTCTTCCTCTGGCAATCCGATCCGCTGCCTCGTCGGCAACGCGGCGGGCCCCGTGGGTTCTTGTGCTTTGCTGGTTGAGGATTGTTGGGGTTGCTGAGGGGCAAGCGGGTCGGGCGCTCTGGTTGGTGTTGCTATGCAGCATGGGAGCGTAAATTCTGCCAGCCTGTAGAACTTCCTCCGGGCTTTCAGCTTTGTCCAGAGGCTGTCGCAAAGCTGATCATAGAACTCCCTCGTGTGCTTGGGAGGTTTGATAAGTGTGCTCTGTGATGTGCATCTTGTCTGTCGCGCCATCTTGATCTGACGTTGGTGGGTCCAATTTGCTTTACTTTTGGTTGCTTGGTTCAGCTGTGGTGCAGGGGTATTCATCCCCCGCGAGGACCGGGATATCCCCCGCCAGCCCAGAGGGAGGGGGGTAGCAGGACTGCTGTGGTATCGCTTGTGAGCATGTCCCAAGTCGGGCGGCCGGTCGCTTCCTTCGGCCCTCAGGCCTCGCTCTATTTTAGGCCGCCGCGTGGCCGGCAATGATTTTTCCGCCGTGCACAGGTGCCGGACCGGTGTCGATTTGTTGCTCACGGTCTCCCGGTGTGCTGCTAGCTTTGGTAGATTGCACAGTATTTGCTAAGTTTTGCTCATCTTTGTGGGAGCTCGTGTGAAGTGCGTCCGGCCATATTAGGTTGCCAAGCCCCGCCCCCCAAATTGTTGTGCCTTTTATTTCTTTTTTTTGCTTGATTAGGCTCCCCCCCAGATCCCTATATCTCTTTAGGGGACATCAGGAGGGGAATCCATTATATTTATCCCTCTAATTTTACTTACACTTGTATCGCGGCACTTTCGCACCTTTTTCAACTGACGTCTAATCTGCCGTTCGGCAGTTTCCTTTATTCACCAGTTTATTTTCGTTCGTATGATTTTTAGACGAACTGTGGATTCATTCGCACAGTCCGTCTGTTTACCGTTCGGGAGTTTTACCAGTATTTATACTGCTCTTCATACGAACGGTCTGTTCGTGGAATTTTGTCATTAGACAGAATTTTGCACGTTTTTCTCCTATAAGCCTGCCCCTTCCTGTTTCCCCTTGTTGGGGTTTAGTGTTTTGGCAACCGGGCGGCTTTCTATCCCTCTCTGTGCTTTTGTAAGTTGTTTACTTTGCAGGATATTTTTTCCCTATTCTGGGTTAATAAACCCTATAGCTAGGTATCCTATATTATATTGCAGGTTACTATAGTCCACACTAATAATGCAGTCTGACAAGGACCATACTGTGGCTTCTCACATTTCCCAGGGTAACCCAGGAGAAGGGACTATGTGCCATGATTTATCCGCTACTGCGGACATACAGGCGCTATTCGACACCTCGATTTCTCAAGCCATTTCCCAGGCTATGGCTTCCGCTATGGGCGCTGTGTCGATGTCTCTGTCACACAGTATTACACAGGCCATCCTGCAGGTCCACCAATCTGCGCAGCAGACTGACACGTCAACTGCATCTAATGTACCAGAGGTCCCCCAAGGTCGCAAAGCTACAGCTAAGACCAAACATTCCTCTAAAATTGCTTTGAGTGACAGCCTAACGTCTGTCTCAGATGGCGCGCAACCACCACAGCACAAAAGATCCACAAAAAAAATTGGCTAGACTATGGAAGCGGGCGAGAGCCCAACTAGATTCGCCTGAGTCAGAACTCAGCGACATTGAGGAGGAAATCAATGTGTCCGATAAGGACAACTTAGAAGTTCAGTCCAAATCAGACTCCGACGGTGCATTAGGCGAGGATTCTACCTCCACCTTCGGCACCTTCCACGTGACATTGTCAGGGGCCCAGGTAAGTCTGTCGGGGACTTGTGACAACTCCAGGATATTAGATCCTAAGAGGGTACTTCTATTGTAGAATTATTAGGTCTCTATAAATCTGTAAGGCCCCTTTAAATCCTCTTGCTATACCTCTAAGAGGCCCCATAGTTTTACAAGAAAGCTTTGTGTATAGAATATAGAATTTGCATGTCAGCAAGAAATATTATGCACCTGTAGTGTGAAACACTGTAGCATCCCACTTACAATGATAGCTTTGATAAAATGTGTAATTACTAAAAGCCTTGAAACCTAACCTTGAGAAACTAACAGTGCCAGGCTACACTCTAAATGGATAGCTGCCAAAAGGCCCCTCCTGTCGAGTGAGCTCCTCATGTTAACAAAATGGTGCTAAAACCTGGAGGAGACAATCATGACGAGGATAGTGACCTAAGATGGTACACCCCGTAGGGAGGGCATTTTACTAACTACTTAGCACCTAAGCCAATTAACAATGTCTATTTTTCTATATCTTGATTTTCTTCAATGATGTAATAATGCCTTTAAAAGGGCCTGCGAGCCTGCTTTTTAAACAGAAGCCATTAAACTTCTCCGAAGTTCTTTCATTAACCGGAACTCTGTGTCTCAGTGTGAATTTACTTCTGCGTGCACGCAACTTTATTATCTTTAATTTGGACAGGAACAGATAGTCATTCAAACTTATTGGTTTGCAGAAAATAATCTACTACACTTCTATTGGACCCTGAGGAACTCAGACATCCGCGTTCAGCGGAATGGTGTCCCTCGGAACATGTGGTGAAATACATCGCCTCCAGAGTACGTAAGCCCCTAGACAAGGCTACAAGGAATAAGTTGAGGGCAGAATGCCCCCGTCCCACGGTCCTAGATGACGCGTGTAAAACGCCCATTGTGGACCCCAAAATTGCCCAATTCCTTGGGAAAACCGTGTGGAAACCGAGGAAAGGCCTTGACTTTGCCCTGACTAATTGCCAAGAGGTTTTGGACATATTGGGCCCCGCGGCAAAAATATTTGAGACGGTCAAAGATGACCGGGACTTAGACGGGGATGTCATCCGAAGATGGATCCAAAGGATCATTTGCCTAGTAGGAAATGTAAATTTGGCTTTGGCTACAGAACGCCGCAAAGCTATGCTGCTCAAAATCGAGCCTAAGCTGGTTAATCTAGCAATTAATGAGCCAGATGCCCAGGCTAAAGGGCTTTTATTTGGTGATTCCTTTGTAAAGGAACTAGGGTCCTTTGTACATACCTTTACGGCCCTAGATAAGGCACAGAATAACATGTGCAAGATATTCCACCAAAAGGTTTTTGCTGGGGCCAGAAGAGGTAGGAGCCGTCTGTCCGGACGTATTCAGAGAGGTTCATAAAGACAGAACCGAGGTTCCTATACCGGAAGAGCTGGATTCCAAGAGCAGAGGGCCACACCACCTTTCTTCCCCCAAAGGGGCAGACCCTGGGTCGCGAGGGGCATCCGAGGAGCTCTTTCTGGAGACAACCTTATGATAAGTGTCTACTATTCCCCTTCTTCCCTTCAAGGTGTGGGGGGCAGATGCAGACATTTTTCCCATGTGTGGTCACATCTGACATCAGATGCTTGGGTTCTACAGGCTATAACAGGGTACTGCATAGAATTTGTATCACACCCGATTCAACTCTCCCTACCCAGAGAGATTGTTTCTTCCCAACAAGATGTTATCCTTGTATCCAAGGAAATTCACGATCTGATGTGCAAACAAGCCATCACAGAGATCCCGTTCAATACTCCGGGGTACGTCAGCAATCTCTTCCTGGTACCCAAGAAAGGCGAAGGAATGAGGCCAGTCATAAATTTGAAACAGTTGAACGCCTACGTGGCCTAGCACCACTTAAAAATGGAAGGCATTGTGGGAATATTTATGGGATAATAATAGTAAACAGTGAGAATCGCTCACTAATTAAATTCTCAGATCCCAAATATCGTTATCGTGTTAAGTGAGAAGTATATCATATAAATAATATTACAATTTTATTATAAAAATAGATTTTATTTATAATAACAAGTTAATTAATAATAATATTATGCCACATGCATGACAATAATCAATGAATATCCAGTATAAATTGGTATGCAATACAAAGGACTGGGTATTACGTTTCAATGGCTAAAACAGCATTTCCTGTCAAGACTTTATTTATGACTATCTTTAACACAGACTGAAAGTGAAACTTTTCACAGAAAAACAGAATTCCTCAGAGTGCAGCGTAAGGTCGTAAAGTTTAGCTGACAGTTAGAATAACCCTTTCAATGCTGGCTAGATCTCCTAGGTAATTAAGATCTATTCTTATGTAATTTTAAATAAAATAACATTTAAACCAGTTCATTAGTCATTTCCTGGAACCATCCAATAAGAGAATCTACCATATTATATAAGCAGAATTTGTCTAAAAGATATCTATCTATATTAGAGCAAATCAATACACCTGGATAAAAACAACGGTATGCTAACACGTGATAATATCACATTAATATATAATTATTCTTAATTCCACCTGCAGAATGGAATGTTTATAACTATATATTCTTTAGTTAACTAAGATTTCTTAATATGGAAATCTGACCGTGCTTTATCCAGTCATATATAATGCTATTAATAAATTTTAATTAATTTAATTAATTAAAAAAAAACAGTATAATTACCAGTTGAGTAGATATTTCATCCGATTGGTAGTCTCAGGAACTTATTTGGATGTCTCTCTGCATGGAGGTTGGAGTCCCCAAACTTCCAATTCCTCTCTCCTCTTTTTCCTTTGCATATGTCTCGCATATCTCCCTATCTTCCCTTTGTCTTAACTTTTAAAGGGCCAGACTCTCTGTACGTCATCAGTTGATAACCCAATAGAAGCACTAGAGGTGTGGTTATCTTCCAGAACGCAATTTAGGTATTTAGTCTATAGGTGGCAGTCTTGTCCCACTAAACATACCTATCCAGGAAAGAGTTAACTTTTCCTGGTGGCTATTTTGACGTCATTTTGGCCTATCTAGATAGTGGCCATAACTTACGTATCCTTCACAGATCAAAGGGTTTATTTAAGTTTTGTCCAGACTATGTGTCTGGCAATCTGAGTTTTGACCCGTAACTTACAATGGGACCTTATATGTATAGACAGTTAAATTGTATTATTTAATCTTCTCTGTCACAATTGTCTGGGTTTAGAATTGATTATATTCTTCTTATCACTTGTTTATACTATGCATTCCTTTAGCTCTGGCAAAGTGGCTAGTCTTACAGAAAGAAATCTTGTGTCTTTTTGTTAACTTGAAAATAACAAAATGGAGTCTGGTCTGTTCAGAGTGACTCAGAATATACACTTTTAGTTTCTATCATAGCACAAGATGTCTGCCGATATAAATACTCTGACAGCATACATTGCCTGCGTGACCTCCTGCAACCCAAAGATTGGATGGTCAAGTTAGACTTACAGGATGCATACTTCATGGTACCCATATCAGACAGATGCCAAGATTTTCTCCAATTCACGTGGGAAGGAAAGAAATGGAGTACACATGCCTCCCATTTGGACTGTGATCAGCCCCATGGTGTTTCACAAAGGTTATGAAACCCGAGATTACCTTACTTCGGAGTCGAGGAGTGCGGCTTATCATCTACATGGACGATATCCTCCTGCTAGCCCAGTCCACTGGCCTTCTCCACACACATCTCGCATGGACTCTGACGCTGTTGCAAAACTTAGGTTTCCTGATAAACTGGGAAATATCTATCCTGACGCCGGCTCGGAGCATCGAATTCCTAGGAATGGTGATCGATTCCACTTCACAGACTTTACACCTCCCAAAGTCAAAATTATTGAACATCAAAAAAAATTAAACGTACATTGGCTGTTCCCCAATTCTCTCTCAAACACCTGGCACGAGTCATCGGACTCCTGGTGGCTGCCATCCAGGCCATATTCTTTAGCCAGATGGGTCAAATGAATTATGACATTGAAAGGCATCGATACTTCCATGTTCTCTCCACATTCTGTTAGTGGAGCTATATGGGTACTTATGCACAAAGCCTCCGCTGTAGGATGTCACTTGGAGGATATTTGAAGAGCAGCCGATTGGTCTTCGGAATCCACTTTCCGTGACTTCTACTTCAAACCAATTGAACACTTTGTTGGAACAATTATATCACAGCTTTAAACCAGCATAATAGGAGCCTTTGTGTATTAATAAAATCACCAGATTTTACTATTTACATGACATAAAGTCCTGATTTTATTAACGACACGGAGGCGAGTATTATCCCTCCCACCCTTCCCTGGATGGTGTTTCACCTGGGTAAGTTAGTACAGTAAGTTAACTTGATTTAGATTTCTCACTGGTAATGTGATGGGTTTTGACTATACATGTTGGGTTCTCACCTCACACAGAATGACTTAAGATTAGTTGCAGTGGATATTGCCTCATAAAGTATAACATGTTATTTATGCATACAACCAGTTTTATACTTGGATAGGATCATATTCTACTCTCTTTTCCAGCCTAAATTGAAAGATCATCCATCAATGAATTCTCCCGTTGTTTGAGAGGAAATTGTCATAAGAACACCGCCTATTATGCTGGAGAGTGGAACCTGATTGACTGCCAGGGAATATATGTATTAAGGACTGTTTCCTGTGTTCATATTATTGTTAAAGTTTTTTCTTTGCTGCTGAGGGAAATAAAGAAAGGTGCAGCATAATACTCGCCTCCGTGTCGTTAATAAAATCATAACTTTACGTCATATACATAGTAAAATCTGGTAATTATCAAAACGCAGTGTACCTATAATCTTAATTGCATTAAGGACAGGAGGCAAATATTTTGCCTCTTTCTTTGCTGCTGTAAAATTTCGCCTCCTGTCATATTATAAAATTGTAGATTATGCTAACGCAGTGTACATATAATCTTAATTTTATTACGCACAGGAGGTGAATATATTAAAACAGCAGATAAAGGCAAAATATGAAGCCTCCTGTCATGTTATAAAATGTTGTATTACTTACGCAGCCATTCAGCTCATGAAAGACCCTAGACAGAACCAGTTACTATATGCCGCTGCTTTTGAAAAATACTGAAGATTACAGCCACTAGGCTGGCATTCCAATTACCAGATGTAGCGGAACGTGGGTAACCTGAGTGGTTACCTCTGCTAGACTCTCCTCTCAGCCAGAAATAGAATCTTCAGTGAATATAGCGCTTTCCCCAATAACTAGTGATGTCGCGAACATAAAATTTTCGGTTCGCAAACGGCGAACACGAACTTCCGCAAATGTTCGCGAACCAGGCGAACCGCCATAGACTTCAATAGGCAGGTGAATTTTAAAACCCACAGGGACTCTTTCTGGCTACAATAGTTATGGAAAAGTTGTTTCAAGGGGACTAACACCTGGACTGTGGCATGCAGGAGGGAGATCCATGGCAAAACTCCCATGGAAAATTACATAGTTGATGCAGAGTCTGGTTTTAATCCATAAAGGGCATAAATCACCTAACATTCCTAAATTGTTTGGAATAACGTGCTTTAAAACATCAGGTATGATGTTGTATTGATCAGGTAGTGTAAGGGTTACGCCCGCTTCACAGTGACAGACCAAACTCCCCGTTTAACGCACCGCAAACAGTCCATCTGCACAACCGCAAACTCCCCATTTGCACAAGGTTGGATACCAAGCTAGCCATGTCCCGTTCCTTGTCCTCACTGTCATTGAAGGTCTCTTCCTCCACCCAGCCACGTACAACACCAAGGGTCCCCAAAAGGTGACAACAAGCCCCCTGGAACGCCTGCTGTGTTTGGTCTTCCACCTCCTCAAAGCCACCTTCCTCCTCTGACTCCTCTTCTTCAGACTCCTCTCTCTGCGTTATTATAAGGTGTGTTAAGTAGTACTATTCCTATCAGTTTAATCCCTGTTACGTCCCCTATCAGGAGACGTGTATATGGCATCGATTTTAGGAACCGGGAGATGGAAAAAGATGCTTGGTCGGTCCTCCTTCAAATTTGGGGCACTGCGCGTGCAATCTAATATGCCACCAGATAGGAGTGGTGTGTTAAGTAGTACTATTCTTATCAGTTTAATCCCAATGTCACGACTACTAGTGTGGTCCAGCACGCAGAAACTATGTAAACATATACATAGGCAAGAAAAGGAAAATAAAGGGACAGAGCGTAAACCGGACCTTAGAATGGCCGGACTAATACGCTAGAGACAGAGAATGGTCAAAGGGAAAGCCGAGGTCAAGGAAGCCAGAAAATACACAATACCGTTTACACAAGCCAAGTCAGGGAAACCAGAATTCAATGAGTCAGGGAAACCAGAATTCAGAATAACCAGGGAAAAGCCAAGATCAGGATACCAGGAAATCAGATTCACAATGATAAAGCACTCTCAGGAAACCAGGAACAGGAAACCACGACAGGGCAAGGTACTGGGGTGAGCTAGGGATTTAAATATCACGCGGCGGGCCGGCAGCCGCGACACCCTGTTACATCCCCCTCATCAGGCCTTTTTTAGTCGAATGTATCGCCCACTGTCAGTCCCTTCGGGATCCATCCCTCATTCATCTTAATAAAGGTGAGGTAATCTAGACTTTTTTGACCTAGGCGACTTCTCTTCTCAGTGACAATACCTCCTGCTGCACTGAAGGTCCTTTCTGACAGGACACTTGAAGCGGGGCAGGCCAGAAGTTCTATCGCAAATTGGGATAGCTCAGGCCACAGGTCAAGCCTGCACACCCAGTAGTCAAGGGGTTCATCGCTCCTCAGAGTGTCAATATCTGCAGTTAAGGCAAGGTAGTCTGCTACCGGTCGGTTGAGTCGTTCTCTGAGGGTGGACCCCGAAGGGCTGTGGCGATGCGTAGGACTTAAAAAGCTCCGCATGTCCTCCATCAACAACACGTCTGTAAAGCGTCCTGTCCTTGCCGGCGTGGGAGGAGGAGGATTACTGTCACCTCTTCCCCTGTTAGATTCCCGTTGTGCTGTGACATCACCCTTATACGCTGTGTAAAGCATACTTTTTAATTGATTTTGGAACTGCTGCATCCTTTCCGACTTGCCGTAATTCGGTAACATTTCAGGCACTTCCTGCTTATACCGGGGGTCTAGTAGGGGGGACACCCAGTACAAGTCGTTCTCCTTCAGCCTTTTTATACGAGGGTCCCTCAACAGGCACAACAGCATGAAAGACCCCATTTGCACAAGGTTGGATGCCGAGCTACTTATGTCCTGTTCCTCGTCCTCAGTGATCTCACTGAAGGTATGTTCTTCCCCCCGGCCACGTACAACATGGGTACCAGATAGGTGACAACGAGCACCCTGGGATGCCTGTTGTGGTTGGTCTTCCTCCTCCTCCTCAAAGCCTCATTCCTCCTCTGCCTCACAATCCACTTCCAGCGTTGCCGCAGGTCCAGCAAGCGATGCTGATAAGGCTGTTTCTGGTGGTGATGGTGACCACAACTCTTCCTCTTCACGCTCATCTATGGCCTGATCCAGCACTCTTCGCAGGGCACGCACCAGGAAGAAAACAAATGGTATGATGTCGCTGATGGTGCCTTCGGTGCGACTGTCTAGGTATGTCACCTCCTCAAAAGGACGCATGAGCCTACAGGCATTGCGCATGAGTGTCCAGTAACGTGGCAAAAAAATTCCCAGCTCCGCAGAGGCTGTCCTAGCACCCTGGTCATACAAATACTCGTTAACGGCTTTTTCTTGTTGGAGCAGGCGGTCGAACATTAGGAGTGTTGAATTCCAACGTGTCGGGCTGTCGCAAATCAAGCGCCTCACTGGCATGTTTTTTCGCCGCTGGATATCTGAAAAGTGCGCCATGGCCGTGTAGGAACGCCTGAAATGGCCACACACCTTCCTGGCCTGCTTCAGGACGTCCTGTAAGCCTGGGTACTTATGCACAAAGCGTTGTACGATCAGATTACACACATGTGCTATGCACGGCACATGTGTCAACTTGCCCAAATGCAATGCCGCCAACAAATTTCTTCCGTTGTCACAAACCACTTTGCCGATCTCCAGTTGGTGCGGAGTCAGCCACTGATCCACCTGTGCGTTCAGGGTGGACAGGAGTGCTGGTCCGGTGTGACTCTCTGCTTTCAGGCAAGTCAACCCCAAGACGGCGTGACACTGCCGTATCCGGGATGTGGAATAGTACCTGGGGAGCTGGGGGGTGCTGTTGATGTGGAGCAAGACGCAGCAGCAGAAGAGGACTCAGCCGAGGAGGTTATGGAAGAGTATGGAGTAGGAGGAGTAGAGGAGGTGGCAGCAGGCCTGCCTGCAAGTTGTAGCGGTGCCACCAACTCCTCTGCAGAGCCACGCATTCCATGCTTGGCAGCGGTCAGCAGGTTTACCCAATGCGCAGTGTAGGTGATATACCTGCCCTGACCATGCTTTGCAGACCAGGTATCAGTGGTCAGATGGACCCTTGCCCCAACACTGTGTGCCAGACATGCCATTACTTCCTTTTGCACAATCGAGTACAGGTTGGGGATTGCCTTTTGTGCAAAGAAATTTCAGCCGGGTACCTTCCACTGCGGTGTCCCAATAGATACAATTTTTTTTAACGCCTCAGACTCCACCAGCTTGTATGGTAAAAGCTGGCGGGCTAAGAGTTCAGTCAAGCCAGCTGTCAGACGCCGGGCAAGGGGCTGACTTTGTGACATTGGCTTCTTACGCTCAAACATGTCCTTGACAGACACCTGACCGTGGTGGACAGCAGTGGTTAACATGGCTGAAGATGCTGGACCAGGAGGAGAATGGCGGCTTTGAGTTTGTGTGCTGCTTGTACCCATGTGTTGATCCCATAGGCGTTTGTGATGTGCGATCATGTGCCTTCGCAAAGCAGTTGTACCTAGGTGGGTGTTGGACTTCCCATGACTCAGTTTCTTTTGGCACAGGTTGCAAATGGCATCGCTGTTGTCAGAGGCAGACACACACAAAAAATGACACACTGCTGAGCTCTGCAATGACGGCATTCTGGTGGTGGACACAGCATGCGTTGATTGGCGTGCTGTCTGGCTGACCCCAGGTGCCGATGCATGCTGTCTGACTGTGCCACTAGCTCCATGAGACGACCTCCCCCTGCTTCCAACTCGTCTCCTCCTCCTCCTCTCTGTTTCCCCATCTGAACTTTCCCCCTGTTCTTCTTCTCTTCTAAAGGGCACCCACGTGACATCCACGGACGCATCGTCATCATCAACCTCTTCACTTGTATCTGACAACTCAGCAAAGGAAGCAGCAGCTGGTACATCATCATCATCATCACACCGTACGTCCATGTGTGTAATGCTGCCTGACTGAGACATATCCCTGTTATCTGCATCCTCTGGCAATAATGGTTGCACATCACTCATTTCTTCCAACTGATGTGTAAATAACTCCTCTGACATACCAAGTGAAGCTGCTGTGGTGCTAGTGTTGGTGGTGGCGGCAGGCGGGCGAGTGGTAACTTGAGAGGTGCCCGAAGCTAAGCTGGAGGAGGATGGTGCGTCAAGGTTCCGAGCGGAAGCTGTAGAAGATTGGGTGTCCTGTGTTAGCCAGTCAACTATGTCCTCAGAACTTTTCGAGTTCAGGGTACGTGGCCTCTGAACACTGGGCATTATTCTAAGGCCAAAGGGAATCACAGCACCACGGCCACGACGGCCCCTGCGGGGTGGCCTGCCTCTGCCTGTCATTTTTTTCGATTAGTGGTACTATGCGTGCAAGCTACTGTGACAACAGATATGAGTGGCACTGTGCAGTGGCAGAAGTTTGCAGAGTAGACGTTGTAGGCCTGACACACGCTTGCAGACAACTAACTGCTATTCAATCTATTACAGTCAAAAAAAATTTTATATGTACACTACTGTTACACCAGATATGGGTTGCACTGGCGTGACACTGTGCCCTGGCAGGCCCTGAAATGCACACGTGTGAAGGAAACTGACTGCTATTATATTACAGTCTGTCATGCCAAAAGCATGAGTTGGTGCTTGATGTGTGTTTATATATGTTAAGAGTTGTTTTTTTGTAAACCTTGGGATGACATTTATTGTGGTCTTTGATCCTGCACCAGGCCTAGGCCATAAAACATCTAGATAGCCATCGCCAGAGCTGGACACAAGGAATTTCATAGAGTGGGCAATAGACTGCCAGACCAGCCCCCTCTGATCCCCCCCCCAGGGGTCTGCCCACTGAGTTTAGATATATGAGGGTGTTGGACTATCCAGGGAAGTCAGTTATTCAATTTTTCTTTTGTCAGTAACTTCTAGGAGACCTATACCATCTAAGACTCCCACAAGAATTCTATATGGGGTAAATATATGTAAGGAATTTCTTGTGTTTTCTCCTATTTTATGTACTGTTTTGCAATTTGTTTTCTGTATGTCATTTATGTCTGTATTTTGTACTCAGCACTGTGAATCCTTTTTGTCAGATTAAATGTTTACTTAATCAGCTTGTGTCTCTGTTCTCTATGAGCTTCACTCTCCAGAGGAAAGCTCAGGTAAACACGTTACCAAAAGGGGTTAACTATATATGTTTTATCAGTAAAAGTAGAACTGTGATACTATAATTCTCCTGTGTGTGGGGTAACCTAAGACACCCGGGTTTAAAAGTCTTGGTGGTGGCAGTAGTACTAAGGGGGATAGTGTAGAAGGGATTGCAGGGGTTAATTGAGTGGTTGCTGGGACTAGCAACAGGTAACCAGGGGTCTGGTGTCATTAACCCTGTCACTTCCACACTCTCCCCACTGTCTCGGCTGGGCCTATAGCCCACGCTCGTGACACAGTCCAAAAAGTTTTTTTTGTTAAATGCAAGCTATTGTGACACCGGATATGAGTGGTGGCACTGGGCAAGTGGGCACAGTATACGCTGTGAGCCTGACACACACGCTAGCAGACAACTAACTGCTATTCAATCTATTACAGTCAAAAATTTTTTTATTTTTTTTAAATGTACACTACTGTTACACCAGATATGAGTTGCACTGGTGTGACACTGTGCCCTGGTAGGCCCTGAAACGCTCACTCGTGAAGGTAACTGACTGCTATTATATTACAGTCCAAAAAGTTTTTTTGTTTTTTTTTAAATGCAAGCTATTGGGACACCAGTGAGTGAGTGGTGGCACTGGGCAGGCCCTGAAACGCACACTCATGAAGGAAACTGACTGCTATTATATTACAGTCCAAAAAGTATTTTTTTTAAAATGCAAGCTATTGGGACACCAGTGAGTGAGTGGTGGCACTGGGCAAGAGGGCACAGTATATGCTGTGAGCCTGACACACAGGCTGGCAGGCAGGCAACTGCAATTACATTACACAGAAGAAAAAAAAAAAGCAGACTGATGTTCTAGTCCTAAAAAGGGCTTTTTGGGGTGCTGTCCTTACAGCAGAGATCAGAGGCGTCCTTCAGGACTGTAGTGGACACTGAATACACTAGCCTAGCTATCAATTTCCCTATCAAATCAGCAGCAGCTACACTTGCTACAGCAGCACCTCTCACTAAGAATGCAGCTTCACAATAAATGTAAAATGGATGCTGTCCAGGAGGTGGGAAGGTCTGGGAGGGAGGGTCTGCTGCTGATTGGCTGTAATGTGTCTGCTGACTGTGAGGTACAGGGTCAAAGTTTACTCAATGATGACGAATAGGGGGTGGACCGAACAGCGCATATGTTCGCCATCTGTGGCGAACGCGAACAAGCGATGTTCACCAGCGAACAGTTTGGGACATCACTACCAATAACTATACAACACATAGTTCTGGTAATACAACTGATGTTATTGTTCCAAATGCAGCCTTTTATGCACAGATCCTCAACATGGGGTCTCTGTTCAACGAATACAGATCCCACCCAGGCACCTCTGTGTCTGGGAGATAATTGAGTCATCTCTTGCTAAATAAATTATCTCTCGGATACAGAGAGCCAAATACATGACAAGCCTTATATCCCCGGATAGTTCTTGGTGAAGTGCCCAAACAGCACCCCAATCCATGGAAGTTTGTGGAAACGATGCCCTGTTCAAGTTCCGCTCGCCTCTTCCTAGCTGAAATTAGTTCCAGGCGGTTATAGTCATTTCCCCGTATTTTAACAGGGTCCCTGGGGGAATCGAGGTAAGGGTGCTCCCCCTGGCTCATAGGAAGCGATTGTCCCTTCTGATAGACTGTAACCCCCCTCCACAGAGCACACTCATTAGACATCGGGAAAAGGGTGAAAAGCGTGATGAAAATTGGCAGAGATGGAGTTTCAGGGAAAACACAGCTATGTGCCGCTGAAGAGATTTGGATACAACAGCTCATTGTATGAGCTGAGAAAGGTGCTTGCTAGGTCCATGTGGAGGGAAACAGAGAGCCAGGGTAGTGTTATAGTCTTTTAGTGTGCTTTTGGTAGTATCCGTTACACCAATGGCTAGTGGGTGAGAGGAAATTCAGAAGCCTGTATATACCACATACAGCAGCACCCAACTTAAGCAGGCCTGTGACATTAACTAGACATTGTCCCCCATCAGTTCCTAAATTCGGCAATTGCAATAAACTACAATTCTTCTCCACAGTTGTCTCACAATGATAGCCAACTAGAGGCACTGGTTACAAACACATTCAAGGCAATCTATAGGTGAGGATACTAGCATTAAGCCAGACTCACCCTCTCTCACCTGTAAATAGCTAGAGAACTGTCAGCAATCCCATACCCAGACACAAACCAGTCCAGTAACTAGGCCAATTAACATGGCTTTGGATAAGTGTATTCTAGCCCACCGTGTGAGAGGAATGTTAGCAAACTGTAGCAGGAGCCCAGACAGGACTAAGAGGCTGGAGACAGTCAGTCAGTGCCCGGACCCGCGGTAAGTACCAGCAGTCAGTCAGTCAGTCAGTGCCCGCACCCGCGGTAAGTACCAGCAGTCAGTCAGTGCCCGGACACGAGGTAAGTACCAGCAGGCAGTCAGTCAGAATGCCGAGGCTCCTTTTGTCCCCGTGTGTTAAGCAGCTGGAGACATTCCCCATGCACACAGCCCCCCCTCCGTCTATTGTCTGCCCCTCATGGTAACCGCGGACCCTCTACTCCCACCAACACCCAGCACAGTGGGCGTGACTTCCCCGTTACTGAGCGCTGAATGGTGGGAGGGGCGTGTCCATAGCGTGCGTGCCATGGTGCGTAATGACGTCACGACGCGTAGCGGCGGCGCTGTGTGAGGAAGGAGCGGAGGGAGAGCGCTCTCGGCGGTTGTGATCCATTACCCTGCTTCTCGGTGACCCTCCCCCTCTCTCCGGTCCCTCATTAGGTGTCATTAGTCTCCGTGCCAGGCCTTCGGACTACCCGCCTGGGTGTTACCGTGTCTTCGCCTCTCCGGAGCGAGCTTGCAGGTGAGCTCACGGTCTATTCACGGGCTGACATGTCCGCCGGGCCCGCATTGCGTAACCATGGGACTTGTGAGGGAGGAGGGGGGAGTTACGTCATGTGTGGGGCTCGGCCGCTGTGTGTTGTGTCGGAGAGCGAGGTGTTTTTCGTGTCGCTGTGAGGTGCCCTCTGACCCTGGCTGGGCAGGGAGAGTGCTGGGAGTCTGGCATCGCTCGCTGTGAGCTCATACATGGCTGGCTGGCGGTGCTGGGTGTGCCCTGTGCTAAGGGTGGCGGTTGTGGACTACATTTCACCCTGTAGGGCGAACACCATGGGGAGTGTAGTCCCCAACAGAGAGAAATGCCTTCAGGCGTTTTACGCAGTTTCCGTAAGCCCCACTGGCCTGTGTGGGTTTGATGTTGGCGGGAGCTGCTCTGTTTACGTACTGGCATGATGATGCCTTTTGCGTGTTCTGTTGGGCGGTGCTCGTTGGTGGGCGGGGGATCGCTGTGTCATTGGCGTAAAGTTGTGCAGAGTGGATAGTGGGGCTGGGTTACGCATTTTGCGTACAGTTGACCGGATGTTCCTGGTATTTTTACGCAGATTGCGCAACCCCAGGTAAAGCCTTGGTGGTGCTGCAAAACCACACGCACACAATGGGATTTATTGCAGTAAGGGTACATGATGGCTTCTCTTTAATGGGGGGATGGTTATAAATGAAATAAAAAGGCTAGAGGCCATTTTCAGCTAGTGGACCTGGCAGGCTAGATCAGTTATAAAAACGACTTTTCTATTTTTGACATTTCTTTTAGTTACATAAAGGTACAGTTGATATAAAAAAAAATCACAATTGTTTATACATTCCAGATGTGAGATTGCCCATGGTTTGATTAGCAATGTTAAATTCTAATCGTACACTATATATATATATATATATATATATATATATATATATATATTATTAGTGTGTGGTGGTTTTTTTTTAATGCATATTTACTCAAGGATATATAATTGTATATTTTTTTTTTTGCTACTATACACTACACTATACAATCGTGTAGTGTAACTTGCACATGATCAATGTTGTTAAAGTGGCATTCATTTGTATTAATAAAATATATAAATATATGATTGTGTATTTGTTTTCTGTTCCATCCCCTCATTTTTAGGATACCTCTGGTGCTTCAATTGCAGTATTGTATATCAGTGTAGCTGAACAGGTTTACTGTCTGCAAGCCTTATGATCAGTTGGACAATAAGCTTGATCATTTAGCTGATCTTGGAATGCCAGAGATTTATTGACAATCTAACCGCTGTAGTTAAGGGTTTGGTTTATAGTGTGTGATTTACATTTCAGTGTAGTACAGATGATGAAGAAATGAGAGGTTGTATAGATCCTAATCTGCACATCCAACAAATACACTGGATGAGTAAATATTTTGGCATCAGAGCAGTACAGCTTTAACATCTTTGATGCTATAACAGTTCAGTGTCTCTAAAAGAGATGTCATAGACTTACTCCATTGTGTATTCAGTATCTAGACTCCACATAACTTTTTCTATTACTGATAGGATTTTAGTTTTGTAGCATGATCTACTATTCTACTATTATAATTCACCATGTTTGACTCTAAGCTGCATCTAAAAAGGGAGTGTGTGCCACTGTGAGGAACCCTGAGGGACACTATAGTCCCCAAAACAACTTTAGCATAATGAGGCAGTTTTGTGTATATCCAGCGCCGGGCTCCCTCGGCACTGGTGACCTCTCCTCCTGCTCCGACGTCAGCTCACAGTGGAGCCAAATGCGCATGCGCGGCAAGAGCCCGCGCACTTTTAAAGCGCCCATAGGGAAGCATTTCTCAATGCTTTCCTATGGACGTTCTGCATGCTCAAACAAATTAAACAGAATTTGCAATAAATGAAATGTAAAACAGTAGATGACTGTTTAGAGGACGTTTTTAGGAAGGCTGTGTAAACGACATGCAGGAATGAGTGACTTGGGCAGCATAAACTGAAGCAAAAGTGATTTAACTCCTAAATGGCAGAGAATGGAGCAGCAAGACTGCAGGGACATGATCTACACATAAAAATTGCTTCATTAGCTAAAGTTGTTTTGGTGACTATAGTGTCCTTTTTAACTGCCAATTCCACCAGTTTTTTCACTGTTATCATTTGTGTGACAGTAAGGAAATACTCTGACATCCTTAAATACATTTCAAATTATTTGGGTATAAATTTGCTAAACAAAATGTGTGTGTGTGTGTGATGTGATGTGAAAATTGGAGGGGTAGGAAATTGAGAGGGAATTTTAAAAAAATTCTGATAGAGTATAATTCTATTGCACTTTAAAAGCAGCTAATCGAACAAGGAAAGTGCCTTAAACATACAAATAAGTGCTGCGGTATAAGTTGGCGCTTTATAAATACCAGTAATAAATAAAACTACCTTTATTTAAAAAAAAATCTTGTCTGGAACTACAGAGCAGTTTAACCAATCATTGTTAACAGGCGTAGTCCCAGAAGATTGGAAGTTATTGAATGTTGTGCCCATCCACAAGAAAGGTAATAGGGAGGAGTCGGGCAACTAAAGGCCAGTAAGCCTTACTTCAGTAGTGGGGAAAGTGATGGAAACCATGTTAAAGGATAGGATTGTTGAACATCTAAAAACACATGGATTTCAAGATCAGAGACAACATGGGTTTACTTCAGGGAGATCATGCCAAACTAATCTTACTGATTTTTTTGATTGGGTAACTAAAATTATAGATCAGGGTGGTGCAGTAGACATTGCTTACCTAGATTTCAGTAAGGCTTTTGACACTGTTGCACATAGAAGGCTTATCAATAAACTGCAATCTTTAAGTTTGGATTCCAATATTGTTGAATGGGTAAGGCAGTGGCTGAGTGACAGGCAACAGAGGGTTGTAGTCAATGGAGTATATTCGAAGCTTGGACTTGTCACCAGTGGGGTACCTCAGGAATCTGTACCTGGACTCATTCTCTTTAGTATTTTTATTAGTGATATTGCAGAAGGTCTTGATAGTAAGGTATGTCTTTTTTTGCTGATGATACTAAGATATGTAACAGGGTTGATGTTCCGGGAGGGATAAGCCAAATGGCAAATGGTTTAGGTAAACTAGAAAAATGGTCATAGTTGTGGCAACTGACATTTAATGTGGATAAGTGCAAGATAATGCATCTTGGATGTAAAAACCCAAGGGCAGAGTACAGAATATTTGATAGAGTCCTAACCTCAGCATCTGAGGAAAGGGATTTAGGGGTGATTATTTCTGATGACTTAAAGGTAGGCAGACAATGTAATAGAGCAGCAGGAAATGCTAGCAGAATTCTTAGTTGTATAGGGAGAGGTATTGGCAGTAGAAAGAGGGAAGTGCTCATGCCATTGTACAGAACACTGGTGGGACCTCACTTGGAGTATTGTACACAGTATTGGAGACCGTATCTTCAGAAGGATAGTGATACCTTAGAGAGGGTTCAGAGAAGGGCTACTAAACTGGTTCATGGATTGCAGGATAAAACTTACCAGGAAAGGTTAAAGGATTTTAACATGTATAGCTTGGAGGAAAGACGAGACGGGGGGATATGATAGAAACATTTAAATACGTAAAATCAACACAGTAAAGGAGGAGACTATATTTAAAAGAAGAAAAAGTACCACAACAAGAGGACATAGTCTTAAATTAGAGGGACAAAGGTTTAAAAAATATCAGGAAGTATTACTTTACTGAGAGGGTAGTGGATGCATGGAATAGCCTTCCAGCTGAAGTGGTAGAGGTTAACACAGTAAAGGAGTTTAAGCATGCGTGGACTAGACATAAGGCTATCCTAACTATAAGATAAGGCCAGGGACTAATGAAAGTATTTAAAAAATTGGGCAGACTAGATGGGGCCAAATGGTTCTTATCTGCCGTCACATTCTATGTTTCCATGAGAAAGCACAAGCGTAATGATGTCTATGATAAAGTACCCTTAATTTGCGAAACACGTGAGCGTCATCATGGTTTTGCCTTCACCCTGCTGTTAATGTGGAAAAAAAAAAGCATTTTTCTTTATACGTTATTTGCACGTTTTGGGCACGTAATTTTCCTTATTTCAAGAGCTGCTTTTGATTTGCAGCATTTGCTTTACATGCTCAGACCCTGCAGAAGCCCAAGTGCATTCCAATAGTATTAAGATTTTTGTAACCCCAACCAGATATTTAAAAGCATGAGATTTTCTTCTCAACGTAAGGGTATCATGTGAACCACCATTTTTGTGTGTGTATGTATATTAGATATATATCTATCGCAAAAGAAGAAAAAACCCAAAACATTGCTTAAAGGACCACTATAGTGCCTTGAGGGTGCCCCCACCCTCAGGGTCCCTGTCCCGCCGGGCTCTGGGGAGAGGAAGGGGTTAAACACTTACCTTTCTCCAGCGCCGGGCAGGGAGCTTTCCTCCTCCTCTCCTTCCTAGCGACGTCATCGTCTGAATGCGCATGCGCGGCAGGAGCCGCACGCGCATTCAGTCAGTCTCATAGGAAAGCTTTGCCAGCATTATGGGTGTAAGATCATTATGGGGGGTGCAGTCCACAACATCTGGAGTGCCAAAGGTTGCCTATCCCTGGATTAAGTGCTGCATAATATGTTGGTGCTAAATAAATACAAAAATTATAAATATGCCAGAAAGGAATATATCTAGAGCAGTCTGCTCTCTGACCCTAGTAATTAGATCAATAACCAACACTGGAAACATGATATTCTAAATTTTGGTGAAACACTGATTGCTATAACCCCAAGCAGTAATCAAAAGCAACCCCATGCTGTGATCATGTCTGGACGTATTAATAGCTGCCCAAAGTTGTTAGGTTGGTTCTAAATGCATGAATATCTGCCCCAAGTTGCTATGCTTGTCCAGCAGGTTTCCCCTAGTTAATCTGAGAACCAAATGAGGTCATTGGAGAAGCAAATTGCAAGAACCTTGGCACTAACTTTGTATTGGAGTATAGTTCTTTGGCTGGAATTTACTTTTGTGTTTTGTTGCAAATTTTAATAATTGAAAAGTCAGCTATATTGACAAACTGGTTAGTTTATCCTAAAAATTGAAATTCAATTTTAATTCACCTTCAATTATTTATTTGCATGGGGTTAGTTAAAGTTTGGTCCAGCCAGATAATGTTTCTTGAAATATAATGCTTGGGATGTCTAATGCTAGTTTATGCGATGTACAGATCAACCGAATATCAACGGGAAAATATTTGGGGGCATTAAAAAGGGTACGAATACGGTCCAGTCGGACTGTAAAATATATACTGGAAGGGACACTATAGTTACCAAAACAACTTTAGCTTAACCCCTTAAGGACCAAACTTCTGGAATAAAAGGGAATCATGACATGTCACGTGTCCTTAAGGTGTTAATGGAACACTATAGTGTTAGAAATAGAAATAGAAATACTAAAGTGTCCCTCTGCCTTCCTAGCATCAAGGTTCCTCAGCACTGGGTCAGGCTCCTCCGACATCAGCTGATGGGGGAACCAAAAGCGCATGTGCAGTGAGCGTCACATTAAATTATCACTTTGTGTCAGGAAAACAAAGCGTTTTTGCCGAATGCGCAGCAAGTGCCACGCGCGCATCCATAGTGTCCATAGGAAAGCATTTCTCAATGCTTTCCTTTGGACGCTCTGTGCGATGGAGGCATAATATGCCTCCAGCGTCGCAGATGCGCCTCTAGTGGCTTTCTGGAAGACAGCAACTAGAGGCTGGCTTAACCCCAAACGTAAACATAGCAGTTTCTCTGAAACTGCTATGTTTGCATCTGAAGGGTTAAAACCTGGGGGACCTGGCACCCAGACCACTTCATTGAGCTGAAGTGGTCTGGGTGACTATACTGTCCCTTTAAGCCTTCCCCATAGAATAACACTGGCTCAGTGCTTTCCTATGGGAATTTAGAAGATGCCGGACATCCTCATGGAAAGTGTGAGGATTTCCAGCGTCGTTTCACTGAGTAAAATTTAATGAGAAGCCAGGAAACGCCTCTAGTGGCTGTCTGGTAGACAACCTCTAAAAGCAGTTTTGACCCTTTAATGGAAACATTGCATCTCTGAAACTGCAATGTAAACCTAAGGGGACAGGGACAATGCACCCACTTCAATGAGATAAAGTGGTCTGGTTGCCTATAGTGGCCTCTTACTGAAGCAGTTTGGGTATATAGATCATGCCCCTGCATTCTCACTGCTCAATTCTCTGCCATTTAGAAATTTATGTGGCCCTAGTCACATCTCCCTGTAAGCAATGCCTTCCTGAGCACTTTCTCTAAAGTGAGATCTAATGTTTACACTTCCTTTATTGCAAATTCTGTCTTGTTTATAATTATCTTTTGCTCTGTTAATAGCTCGCTAGACTTTGCAGAACCCTCCTGTATATGATTAAAGTTCAATTTACAGCAGGAGATAAAAGCCTCTAAACTAAGTTAATATAAATATTATGTATATATTTTGCAGTACACTGGTGCATTTTCCTGCCATTTGGTTTAAAGATAAAGTGAGAAAATGTAACCAATAGAGGAGAAAGAAGGAGGAGCAGTAAAAAAATAAATACAAATAAATGTATGTCTGTCCCTTGTAATTACAATTACTCTGTTATGTAACACCTATAAGTGGATCTACAGGCATGTAATAACCACAAGGAAAAAGTGCATGAATCGTACACAAAAAGCAATGTCATTCCCTTAAATCTCCCTTTCCTTTTAGTTAGCCCCCCCCCCCCCCTTCTTTTTCTTACACCTTTCCCCATTTACACTCTCAAGACTCCTTAATGGCTAACTCCACACCCCTTATGCTGATCATTTTCATTTTACTGTTACATGGTATGCAGGGCACCTATCTTTATGTCTTAACATCTTGTCTTGTTACACTACATTTTTTTCTGTATCCTGATGCTATGCTGTCCAGGTAAGAGCAAAGATTATTCACATCGTGATGGTATTGGGTGGTTAATGCTATACTTCAGGATAAGTAGATTCATGGTAGTGTATGATGCTAGGGGACCTTGTGGCACTATTATGAATGGATTGTTACGTGTAGCACTCTGGTGGGGTATGTATTTTAATAGTGATAAAAAGTTTGGCAAAGTTAACTGTTTGGCAATAATGATATTTGAGGACACTATTGTTGGGTGAAGAGGGCTGTGTGTCACTGTTACTGATGTTTTATTCAGTGTTTTGAAGGTTTTAGGTCCTTTTTGGTTTCATTTGAAACCGTGGACAGAAGTAGAAAAAAATTCAAATTTTTAATTTAAAAAAATAATGTTGTGCATGGTTGGCAAGTCTTTGGGATGTTCTAAAAATAGAGCACTCAACTGGAACATTTGGTTTACCTGGTGATTGTTCCACATTACAGCTTTGGCCCAGAGCTGCTTATATACACATAACCCCCAAAGACCTATAGAAAATGCAATTTTTATAGAAGTCAGATATACCAGTAGTTATAAATTAGCCTGATTTATGTGTGGTATGATTTGTGTTTTTGTTTTATTTTCACATGATAAAGGTATATTGCTAAAGATTGGCTTATTTATTTGAACTAGATATATTAATTGTATGGTAGTTTGGTATACTTATTGCAGGGTTATTGTGTTTTATGGGATAGATATTACTTGGATTGGGGGCTATGGGTTGTATTGTTGAATTTGTATAGTATTGGTGGAACTATTGTATAATGTCAACATATTAAGCTGTTAAAAAAAAAAAAAACCTAAATGAAGAAGGAATTGTATTTCTTAAGTACTGGAGGTACTATGGTATAAAAGGTATAGGCTGCTAAAAGCTTACATTAAGTACTTGTAATTTTATATAGTATTTCTTTTAATAATTGCTGCACTTGTCAGAGGCCAACTGTGTTTCATTGTCCTCTTATGTACATTGTACAGTGATACTAAAGTTGAATCTGATATGTCTATTATGATTTTTTTTTTAATGGTTTCTCCCTTTTCCTCCCTCCATTTTTTCCCTCCCCCCCTTTATAGTACTTTGTTCAGTGATACAGCTGTTTTATGTTACAACTGATAGTTCTTTATCGTTTACTATTTTTCAAAACATGTTTTACCTATATATTCAGTTTGTTTTTATTAAAAGTTTCACATTGAACAGTTTGACTTATATGCTTATGTAATTTTGAGCTTCTCCATATGTAATTGTTATTCCAATTGTGCATACTTATTTTCTAGTTATGTATGTTTGTCTTCTGTTGACTTTTTCAATAAAAACATTACATAAAAAAAATAAATTAGCTTGAATATTTTCTTTTATTAATGATATTTTAGGGCTTAGAAATTGAAGAAGCCTTAGAGAAATATCCCAAAACACGAGGCCTCAGTGGTTAGAAGTTTAATTATCGGTTTTCTGGTGTTTGCCCAGACAATGATTGTGTACCTGAAAAGGCAATAGTGCAAGATCTAACGAAGTTAAAGTCTTTCTATTGTAATGATCATGATAGATTTATTTATTGTGGAACTAAGTGACCTTTTAAAATTGTAAAGTCTACCCCCAGTACAGTGAAGGTGTGACTCGGATTCAGGATTGTTTACGTGTGCTTGTATGTAGATGCAGAGAATTGATGTGTTAATTGGATAAACAATCAGTATTTGAATCATTCCATGGTACCAGGTTGAATAGAACAAAAGAGCTGCATATATTATCTTACAAAATAAAATGCAATCATACATTAACATGTAAAGGTTTCTAGTCCTGGCAAACCTGTGACTTTCTAGCTGTTGGAGTGTAATTTGCATAATGTCTCAAGCCAGTCTTGGTGATTTGCTAGTGAATTGGCAGGGATGCAAAGCACGGGTGTGGAATTAAAAATAAATAATTAAAAAAAAAAAAACACTTGCACAAGAGACTAAAGTTGTAACCCAATCTACTTGTTCTGACACAAAATAATTTTAAATTAAAAAGATTGGAGCCCCTGGAGTGAGGAATAAAATTATTTTTAAATGATTTATATTTAATATAGTAAAATTATGAAATTTCTTTGAAAGGGAAAAAAAAATGCTTTGCGCCTTCAGAATGTATTAGTCACAGAATCCTACCCCATATATATATATATATATATATATATATATATATATATATATACACACACACACTAATATTCTTGAAAACATTAAAAATCAGACTGCCATATATATTTTCTGCATTTACCTCTGAACAAAAACTTAATGCACCAGTTTGGCAAAAAAAAAATTATAATAAATTGAAAGGAACAGTTGCCATCAGAACCCTGTAAGCGAAAATAGTTGGCATAGAAACGCCTTGAAATACATATAAATAATCAGTGCATTTGTAGTGGCAAGTAACTTTTAGTATTGCCTTGTATCTTAGGAAGTGAAATTTTGAGCGCTATAACCTGGTATGTCTACAATAACAAAAGAAAGCAGTACAATATAAACTTTGTTTAGTTGATATGCAACATAAGCATGTATTTTTTTTCTCTCTCTCTCTTTTTTTTTTTTTATAATGGTCTGCGAGGTAAACAAAGTAGTGCTAAACTATCCCCTTTCCCTTATTTCATAGAAGCAAAATGTTTATTAAAAAAACAAAACAAGACCCTAGTCTAGGAGTAATTGGCAAGGACGAAAACGTACAAGCTTTCCAGGTTGCAGTCATTTAGCTACTATCCATAAGTGCATGGTCTTATTCTCTATTCAAAGGAGAGATCCCTTACAAGGTCTCATTTGATATTTTATACAAAAACAAAGCTCTCTTTAAAGTACCTACTGTCTCATTCTCATCACTAAACCAGTGTTTATAGAAGTCTTCATCCTGGTGACATGCAGTGGGGTTTGTTTTACACCAGACTGCATCATGCAGTAATTGATCTAATTATTTCCTTTGGATTCCAAGGATTTTTTTACATTATTGCAGGTGTGTTAATACCAAATGACATCTTAGACAATCTGTTGTACAGGTTCTCTTACACCTTCTTATTGAGGAAACATTGCACTTTGCAGCAGCAAATTGGTTGTCTGATGCAACTGGAAGAAACACATTTGAGAGAAACAAATGTACTTTACAAGTTACACCATAGGAATCAACTCGATCTATTAGTTCTAGTAAACATACATGAGCTTTCCATTTAGAGAGAAGTAATGTTTTGTTTTTTTTGAGACAACCTAATGTCATTGAGCATTATTATTATTTTAGCTGTTTATGCATTCCATTCAGTTGTTATTAAAGTCAGCTAGATCTTTAACAAAGTTATATAGTTCAGCTAGATAAATTGTAACCAAATATCATTTTGTAATTTTAATCTAGTTCCCATGACAGAGCCTTGGAAAATAGAACCTGTAATGCTAAGTCACACTTATGCTACTTCCATAAAGGGGGATGCTTTCTCATACAATTATAGGATCAGCCCCCCTATTAAAGTTTAAAACGCACCTTATTTCCAGCGCCGTGTGTCTGCTGGTGCTGGCTCCGCCCCCTTTGTGACATTACCAAAATGGCCGATTTTTAGTCAATCCAATGCATAGGTAAAGTATTGGCTAAAATCAGGGCGGGGCCAAATGCCGTTTTGGCCAATCAGGACCTCCTCAGAGATGCATTGAATCAATGCATCTCTGAGGAAAATTCAGCATCTCCATGCAGAGCGTCGGGACGCTGAACGGTAGGGCTGCTTACAGCCCTGAGCCAGGAAGCCCCTCCATTGGCCATCTAAGGAGTGACCTCTTGGAGGTGTCCTTAGGGGCAATGTAAACACTGCCTTTTCTTTGAAAAGGCAGTATTTACAAGAAAATGCCTGAAGGGAGATATTATACTCACCAGAAAAACTACATTAAGCTGTAGTTGTTCTGGTGACTATATTGTCCCTTTAAGCTATACTCTCAGGATCCTCAATAGACCTCTGTTTTGTACTCTGGCATAAGCCAGAATATAACATATACATGGACTTTTGGCAGCTGAAGCAGAAAGAGCATGGCTGTGGCAGTGAAAGACCGGTTCAGGCAAATATAACTCAACTTTCTCTGCTCCCGACCACCGGACATCTAACTTTTCCTGCACCCTGACCACCAACTGGGATCTTGGCAAATTATGCAAAAAGTGCCCAGATAGTAATAAAGCTGCTTTAATGCTTACTAAATCCCTACAACAGGGCTAGTCAAATCTCAGGTCTCCATGACCAACAGGAATTTTGTCAGGCCATTCAGCGGCTGCGGAATGGAGTTGGGCGGAGAGTGAGATGCAATTTCAAGCTCTTCTTGCTCTGCTCCTTAACTCAACCTGCTGTCAGAATATGATGTCACTCCGTCATCCCTAAACAGCGTGCGAGGGAGCAGAGAGCAGCCCCACAGGACCCTAGGGAAAGTACCCAATCCAGCTCTCCCAAAGCTGTGTCTGTCTAGGTAACCAGCCCCCTCTGATTGCATTGGAAAGGTGTTCTTACCATTTTTTCCCACGCCATGTCGGCTCTTCTGTAGCTGGCCCCATCTCCATGATCTCAGCCAAGCCTAACAGAGATGCATTGAATTAATGCATCTCTATAGAAAACATTCAGCGCCTCCATGCAGAGTGTGGAGATGCTGACCGTAGGCGCTGCACACTGAACTAGGAAGCACCTCTAGTAGCCATCTGAGTGACTGTCCCTAGAGGTGTTATTAGGTATCAATATAAATACTGCCTTTTTCTCTGAAAAGCCTACATTAAGCTGTAGTGATCTAGTGACTATAGCGTCCCTTTAAAAATTGTATTTTCATTGTGGAAAATAAAGCCTTGTTAGTTTAAAAAAACTAACAAGGCTTTAACTGGCACATTCCAAGCAAATTTGTTAAGCTCTGCTCTACCAATAGAAAACCATTGCACCTAAAATGTTCTGATAGCAACTTTGTGTTTTTTTTGTTTGTTTTTTGAGCAATATTGTTATGGCGCTCAGACATTAAAGCAGCTGCTGTAACCACTCACCACTGTCAAGTGCCGGGTGTTTCCATAATGTGGTGCGTTCCAACCACCCTGGGGCTCTAAGGGGCTATGGCTATACATCCAAAATGTGCTAGAATAAATGGAAACACAACACACTTGGGTTAAAAATAAATAATTCAAGCTAGTAAAATGGTAAACATTCTCCTTTACTAATATAACTTTGGTAACAACATCAAGTAAATGTGTACACTTACTAAATAACCAACACAGCGGATTCTATCCCCCTTGATTACTATTGTATTGTTGAATGCGTTGGTATCCAGTATGAATGCATAGTGCTTATCACTAGATAAAAATCCAAGATACAACAGGTTGACTTTTTTCTATAAGTGTTTATTATATATATTTTCTTTAAAACTATGTCTACACCAGTTTTTGCCCACAAATAACCTGGGAGAGAATAAGGGTGTTTGTTTAATTTAGACAAGCTCTTTCTTTATTCATAGTATAGTTGTCATGCATAATTCCTAAGTTAGTGAATACTAATCAGAAGCTTGGAAAGAAAACTCCAGAAAACATTTCTTGTAAAACCTGTTCTTGCTAATAAACTACACCTCTCTTCCTGATAAGCCCTAATACTTTCATTTCACCATATATACAGTTTTCAGGAAAACTGTTGAGAGACTTATTATTTTTGAAGGGACACTGTAGTCACCATAACCACTACAGCTTAATGTAGTGGCTCTATAACCTGTCCCTGCATGCTTTTTTTTTTTTAATGTAAATGCTTTTTCAGACAAAAGGCAGTGTCTGCATTACTGCCTAGTAACACCGATAGTGGCAGTCTGTTGGCCACTAGAGGTGCTTTCTAGTCTACAGCACCTACTTCCAGCACCTCCACCCTCTGCATGGAGGCACACTGATTCAATGCATCTCTATGAGGAGATGCTGATTGGTGCAGTGTGATGTTTTGCCGCCAATGTGCAATAGCCTCCCAATGCTTTTCTACGAGAAAGCATTGGATTGGCTGAGATCATCAAGATTGATTATTTCAGCCATAGAGGTATGGCCAGCTGCTGCGAGACTGGTGAGGCAATGGAGTAAAGATAAGGAAACTAATTCCGGAGGCAGGGAGTGGTGCCCAGTTGGAGCAGCTAAAAAAACTGTTTTGATTACTTAAAATAGGGGGAGCACTAGGGCCCTACTGACACCATATTCAACACGTCACCTGTAGCGTTTCTTTCAATTTCAATAGTGTGAGAGGTGGAAATTGGGACAGTACTAGAATGAAAGTCGCAAACAAACACTCTTTCACTGTGAGTAGAGAATTAGGCCATCTAAGACAAATATAAATAAAAGAAGCAACTGCCACGTTTACCTTAATGTGACCTTCCTGATTTGATCAATCACTAGCCTTTGGTACTTTTAATATTCCTTCCAGATTTCATTTCAGATCTAAAATAATGGATTAGCTAATTGTGCACATCATGGTAGTTGTGCGTTTAAAAATGTATTTCCGCCTGTGTATAACTCTGAGCCTCTTTTTAGATGATCACTATATTGGTATAAAATATAAAGTTTAAAGGTACCATAGCAACTTCATCTTATGATGTATGCCTGGAGGTCCTGGATGCCTTCCTACCTGTTTAGCAAACGATTTAACCCTGAGGTACCCTCAATGGCTCCCATCCTCTACACCCCTCTGTTTCCTTCATTGCAAAAGTCTTCTACTTCCCGTTGTAAAAAAATGATTGTGTACAAGAGGCAGAAGGACATTGAGGGCAGATGCTGTCAGTAGCACTTTCAGTTGAAATGTTCCTAAATTGTTAACACTTAAGGCGACTTGTTTTGTGTGTGTATGTGTGCACACTGTTCCTTAATCTGTATTTTGTATAAATGTTAAGTCTTTACGGCAGCACCACTACTGAGAAATGCGTGTTCTGGTTGTGCTTCCTTTTATTTTCGGTGTATATTTGGAATACATACCAGATTTCTTATAGCTTGAGCACCCCGCCCCTCCACTATAGGTGCCCCTTTGGAGGTGACCTGAGGAAAGCATACTGCTTTCAGTTTAACTCCTTAAGGACCAAACTTCTGGAATAAAAGAGAATCATGACATGTCATGTGTCCTTAAGGGGTTAAGCAGTATGTGTTGTAATTGGTATGGTTATCTCCCATGTTAAAATTAGTGTCTGACCCACTGATATTTTGGTACCGTGATGTAGTGGTGGGCTTAACAAATCTCAGGTTGTCATGGCAACTAGAAATGTTGCCTTAGTGTTTGTCAGCCCTTTTCTCTGAAAAGGCAGTGTTTACATTGAAAAGCCTACAGGGACATGATCTATTCTAGACACCAGAACCACTACATTAAGCTGTAGTGATTCCGGCGACTATAGTGTCTCTTTAAGAATTGTATTTTTCTTGTTGAAAATGAAACTGTCTAAAAAAAAAAAAAAAAAAAAATCTTTTAAATGGCTATTTTAGCTGGCTCCTAGATTCCAAGCTATACCAAGTTTTGCAATGGTTTAGCTTTAACAACTGTAACGTATGACTTTTGAATATATTTTATAACTTCTGAAAATGTATTGAAATCCTAGACATATTGGGTAGTTTAACAATCTGGACTAATTAGTTAATGTATTTTGAGTTGGTTTTCTGTAGTTGCACTTGTTGGGTAGAAAGTATTGAATGTAAAATTTAGTGGGGGAAAGGTGTTTTAAAAAAAAAAAAAAAAAAAAAATTTTTATTTTATATTTAGTATCAAGAAGTTCCAGTTTTTCCCTTTAAACAATATGTAATGATTGGGTGCACTTAAACAGGGTCAAATTGTGGTAGAATGTACACCTTGCAAAAATACCAACAAGGCCCTGGTCCTTAAATGGCTACGCCAATGTCCATTACCTCTTCTGCTTTGTGAAGTGGTCACGGAGCAAGGAATCTGCATGTGCAGTTTTTCAGAGTAGTCTAATGTGACACCCTCCGGTGTAGTGTTTTTTTTATCCACCTAGCTATCCACTCCCTATCTGCTCTTCTTGCTGGTTTAGAACAGGCGCATGCGCTCTGAGCTTGCTAAATAGTCCAATCAAAGACTTCTCTATGAGAAACTTTTGATTGGACTGCACATCACCTGCCGTAACGTCAGGAGGGGGTTTTTAATGCAGCGCCAGGAGCGTGCCCAGCACTTTATTAAGTACAGAGTCTATAAAAACTATTTATGTAGCGATTGGGAGGGGGGTATTTAAGAATAATGTGAAATAGGGCATTCATTAAAAAAAAATTTTTTGAAAAGGGTTGAAGTAACCCTTTAGGGGGTTAATTTACAAATTGTAGAGCAACCACTCATTAAAGAGTTACTTAAAACAATAAACCTACTTCAGTCTGCTGTAGTGGTTATGATATTGATACTGCCCTGGTGCCATTCCCTGATCACCCTGTATGGTACTTACCTCCAGTATTGGAAAATACTGACACTCATTCTTTGGGTGAAAGTGTCAGCTGAGCATGCTCATCCAACCAATTCCCCTCTGCGCATAGAAATACACGTCTAATTGGTATTGAACAGTCTGGAACTCTTTCTGGACAGGCTAATGTCCTGATGTTGGAGATGGAGTTACACCTTAAAGGACCACTATAGTGCCAGGAAAACACTCGTGCCTCCACCCTCAGGGACCCCCTCCCGCCGGAATGGATGGCGAGGAAAGGGGTTAAACTTACCTTTTTCTCCAGCCGGGCGGGGAGCTCTCCGCCTCCGATCCTCCTCCTCGGCTGAATGCGCATGCGCGGCTGGAGCTGAGCGCGCATTCAGCCGGTCTCATAGGAAAGCATTCATAATGCTTTCCTATGGACGCTGGTGTCTTGAAGTACGCAAAATGAGACAGCCACTTGAGGCTGGATTAACCCATTTATAAACATAGCAGTTTCTCTGAATCTGCTATGTTTATTAAAAAAAAATAGGTTAATCCTAGAGGGACCTGGCACCCAGACCACTTCATTAAGCTGAAGTGGTGTGGGTGCCTAGAGTGGTCCTTTAAGCAGATAGCCTCAATATATACGAATGTACGTACAGACTCCATGCACTATAACTTTACTTCAAATCACTGAAGTGGTCATGGTGCACGGAGTCACCCCTCAGGGAGAGGAATCTCCTACATTCCCGTACTACGGAGTGCAGCTCTCCCCATGATGGGAGATAGTGACAGAAGCTGGAATGCTAGAGGCTGCCTATACTGAAGGGCAGCTCCTTGCTGTAGCTTTGCACGGCTTGCCTCCTGGCTGTGGAGCTTTATTAGGAGTATTATACATACTGCAGGGCTTGTTTATGGTCGGTCTGACCGTGTAATATCCGTGTGGGCTCTGTGTTTTTGGTCGCCATGCCCCTGGAAGCTCTGCTCCAGTCTGCGTCTAGCTTGCCCCATTACATCTTATTGCATCACCACGCTCCCGGGACGCCTGACGTCACGTCCGCACCTTACCCGACGCGGCTGTGAATGGGACTTGTTACGCTGGTACTGTAACGCCGCTCATTGCTTTCCCCACAGCTTTGGCAGGTTAGCCACGCAGTTTGCGTAGCGTATGGTATATAGAATATTCTCTTGCGCACAGAGGTCTAGTAGGAGGTTTTACGTTATTTTCGTATAGCATGTCTTTGTGAATACGCTACTTGCGCCTGGACTCGCGTTGTGTATTGCCTGTACTGCGTAGTTTCCGTAAGGCCGGGTCTCCTTGGCGGGCCCTGTGTCGGACGGTAAGGCTGCTGCTGGTGACGCGGTGGGGTCTGTGCATGTACTGTAACTGATCGAGACCATTTACCGGGGGTTTACACAAGAGAGCGCAGCCCTAGGGAATCAGTGCAAGCCGCTATACCGGAGAGGGGGAGTCCGGGGCCTGGAGAGCAGCCCCGAGCCGGCGCCATTTTCTGGGAGAGGAGGCCGGGGGGGGTGGGCTTCCCAACACATTGTGTATTTATTTAAAATCCTTCTTAGAAAGTCCTGCATGAACCCACAGAGAGGGCCCTGGCGGTGTGCCGGTGTATATGGACGGCACCTATGGATTTATTGTGTATATGTGTTCATGTAATGGTCAGACTGCAGTGACAGAGGAGGGGCTGTGCACCAACAAGCTCTCCACTAACACTGCTATTGTGTGTCAGCCCTCTTATCGGAGATCGGGATATTTATATAAAGAGCTCTCCTTTAATTCACTGCATGGCTGCTTCCATCATTGCTCACCTCCTTGTCTAATTGTATATCTGTAATATACACCCACCCGGTAGCAATCACTAACCTACACAGCCTTCCATGGCCCTTTAAATCTCAATTTCGTTGTCAACCTGTAAATACTAAGAGTGTGTGTGTGTTATTTATAAATAAAATCACATCTTCTCATGAGTAACACCTGACCTATCTATATCTTTCTAACAATATACATTTTACATATACAATAAACTATGCAAATTTCCATCATAAACATAAATACCAGTAAAGTATGTTCTTCTCTAATAGCAAGTTGTTTGGTATCTCTGTCACTTAACTGCAAGACATATAAACTAGTTTGCTGTATATTATGACTATTGTATTGGTAGAGGTGTTTGCCAAAGATCAGCTTTATAAACAATTCCATTTTTTTTCCAGTACTTTTTCTTTTTAAGATGATAACGTAAGCTTTATGATAATGGCTTACTCGGCCTTATATAGATAATTTATAATTGGTTTTAGCACCAACATATTATGGAGTGCTTTACAATAACTGACACACATATTAATGTGTATAGAAACAAGGTGAAGAGGGCCCAGTATTTTACAAGTGCATCTTTAAGCTTTAATATCTTGTGTTCTGTTGAATTAAATGCTTCTTACCAGGTTAAAAATTAGCCATAGCACATTTTCATATATTGCTGATCTTTGAGAGTTATAATGGCTTAGTCAACTAGGCATTCTCTGAAACAGACTTTAATTCATCACGGGGTTACTTAACACCAAAAATCATTTGGTCATCAAAATTTATCTGTCAACTAAACTTTTTGGTATGTGATTTAGCTATTTACAAAAGGCTTATGTGGACGTTTTATCCATATTTCTACATTGCTGTTTGGTTAGCAGTTAAAATTATCCATATATATTTGATGTATACCAGGGGAGTGCACATATTCTTCTAAGTCCCCCAAAGCCAACTCATGTTATGTAACTCCCAGTATCCCTTAACCCAAGAACACCACGACCCAATATCCCTTCCCATCACTACTCTTACTTTAGCAGTGTATATTATTTATTTAATTTATAATTGCAGCTTTGAATTTAATCTCACTACAGTAGCGAAATCTAAATATTTTTGTTTCAATGCATCAATGACGTTTAAAAAAAAAAAAAAAAAAAAAGCACAATGCGGAGCTTAAAGGACCACTCTAGGCACCCAGACCACTTCAGCTGAATGAGGTGGTCTGGGTGCCAGAGAAACTATGTTTATAAATGGGTTAATCCTTCCTCCAATTCCTCTAGTGGCTGTCTCATTGACAGCCGCTAGAGGCGCTTGCGTGATTCTGGTGCCAGGTCCAGCTAGGGTTAACCCATTTTTTTTATAAACATAGCAGTTTCAGAGAAACTGCTACGTTTATAAATGGGTTAATCCTTCCTCCAATTCCTCTAGTGGCTGTCTCATTGACAGCCGCTAGAGGCGCTTGCGTGATCACGCAAGCGTCCATAGGAAAGCATTGTAAATTTTGCCGCGCGTGCGCATTCAGCCGAATGGGAGGAGAAGAGGAGGATCGGAGGAGGAGAGCTCCCCGCCTAGCGCTGGAAAAAGGTAAGTTTTAACCCCTTTCCTCTCCCCAGAGCCGGGCGGGAGGGGGTCCCTGAGGGTGGGGGCACCCTCAGGGCACTATAGTGCCAGGAAAACGAGTATGTTTTCCTGGCACTATAGTGGTCCTTTAATTTATATGGGACACTCATGAAACCCTTAAAACAGGATTCTCCAAACTCTGGCCGTCCAGATGTTGCTGAGCTACAACTTCCATACATTTTTGGCTATCTATTTCATTCAAAGAATAATGGGGGTTACAGTTCAGCAACATCTGGATGGCAAGAGTTTAGGGAACCTTGCCATAAAACATTGATTAACACCAAATAGTAAATGTTTTGGGACCATTGTCCCTTTCTTGATGTACAATATTCTACTTTCTCAATTTACATTAAGAAAGAGACAGGAGTTCCAAAATGTTTATTGAGTGTTCTTTCACAAGTGACCCATATCAACTAAGCTGCACATTGTGGTTTCTCTATTTCTCTGATGCATCCGTTTATTGCAGTGTCCACATTTTAGTTTCAATGCAATTTCAGTTAGGTTGATAATGAATAAAGTAATTTCATCAGATTAAAAGGACACTTCATTCACCCAGATAACATTGTATTGTCCATGTCCTCTTAATCCTGCAAAGGAAAACATTGCAGTTTTTTTTACATTGTTGGGTTAAAGGACCACTATAGTGCCAGGAAAACATACTCGTTTTCCTGGCACTATGGTGCCCCCACCCTCAGGGACCCCCTCCCGCCCGGCTCTGGAAAGGGGTTACAACTTACCTTTTTCCAGCGCTGGGCGGGGAGCTCTCTGCCTCATCTCCTCCTCCGTTCCTCCTCCTGGGCTGAATGCGCACGCGCGGCAAGAGCTGCGCGCGCATTCAGCCGGTCACATAGGAAAGCATTCATAATGCTTTCCTATGGACACTTGCGTGCTCTCACTGTGAAAATCACAGTGAGAAGCACGCAAGCGCCTCTAGTGGCTGTCAATGAGACAGCCACTAGAGGATTAGGGGGAAGGCTTTAACCCATTCATAAACATAGCAGTTTCTCTGAAACTGCTGTGTTTATAAAAAAATGGGTTAACCCTAGAAGGACCTGGCACCCAGACCACTTCATTAAGCTGAAGTGGTCTGGGTGCCTAGAGTGGTCCTTTAAGTCCACCTTTAGTGGCTATTAGTATGAAAGCCACTAAAGGTGCTTCTTCTGGTCTGACAGAGTAAAGTTTGAATGCTCCTATGAGGAGCATTGGATTGGCCATGCCTACTCCGTGATATCGCTGGATGTGGTAAGGTGAGCAACACCGAGGGTTCCACAGCGCTATAAAAAGGTGAGTAAAACTTTTATTAGTAGTATTATTTTTTTACTATTTATTACATTGGCTGGGGGTGGTGGCTATTAATACAAGCAGGGGAATATTAGTGTTTTGAACACAGATTTGTATTCCTAACAGTGTGTCTTTAACAAATGAAAATGGTCACATTACCAGTAGAAATTTTGGTGATTAGTGAATGACCACCAATCTGTAAAATATACAGCAATTGTAACATATATAGAGTACATTTTCATGTATCGGTTGGTCATATGCGGTTGTTGCTGCGGCTTCTTCATGTGATTTTGAGTATTTAGTGTTTGCAGTCGCTGTGTTTGTATGGATAACTAACAATACTAGTTTAGTTAGTGTTCCTCATCTAATGTTTTGTACAATCGTATGTTTACATTTTTTATTAATTTAGTGCATGTGCACGCAAAAATTTCTCCTTTATGAAAGTGCAGAGCACATAAAATAAACTACCATATATTTTATTGACCTGTAATCCTGAAATTTACTCAATTGCGTTTTGTTTCCTATTCTTTTACAATTGAAAAACACAAATGTATTAAACTAATGCTTCTAAGTCAATGTGATTATCTAATAAACTCAATTAAAAAGGTGGGGATTCATTGTAAAGATTATAACCTCATGACAATAATACTTAGTACACTGTTTTCATGAGTGAGAGCGAATGTTGTCTCATCTCAAATTACGGTAGTCTAAATTTTGAGCATCAATATAAACCTGACACTTATTTTATTATCCTTCAGAATAACACACTAGTACCATTTAAGTTTCCAAACTTCCTTTAAAGTTAGCGCCATATTTTATTTTACTTTTTGAATGCTTGAATGAAAATGATTTAATTCCTAATAATTTGATGAATGCTTTGCATAGCTATTTTCTAATATAGGTTTTCTTACAGGCATTTATGCTGCCATGCTATATTGATTAGAGATGGCATTAATAGTATGTGCAATACATCAAGTATGCACTTTACTCATTATCATCTATTCCTCTGTGAAGTCAAGGAAGTAGTGTTAGGAATAATACAAACTGCAGTTAAGAATTCCAAATTTTCTACAACTATTGCATTACAGAGAACAGTGCTGCAATGATGTCTGCTTGCTTATTTTATGGTTTAGTTTAGAACACTGACCTGCAAATTAAATTTTATAAGGTAAATTCTATCGTAAATAAAACATTACTCCTTGAGTGGAGTATTGTTCCACAATAGGAAGCATTTACTTTATAAAAATTGTTTGCTGAATGGTATTGCACTCCTGAAAGCTTTTGAGTTTCATGACAGCAGTAGACTTCTATATCTAATTGATTAATAAGGTAATCGGTTGTCTGCTCTTCACAAAATTTTGTGCACCAGTAAGTCTGACTTACATTTTACTGAAATCTATGATATGAGGAACATTTAGGCAGCCAAAATACGAGTAACAGAATTATTGTTTGAGAAACACCTGGTGTGCCAAGACTATCAGTGAATTATGATTAAGTTGAACTACGCTTGTTTGTATGGTTGGGCAATTCCAAACGCCGCTTTACGTGCTCTGTTACTTTCTGTATAAAATGATACCTGTATATGTGTTTAGCGTATATAGATAATTTGCATTGACATAATGAACTGTGGTAAACATTTCTAAGCAAATCTTTCCCTTCTACTTGTCAGATCACCCGACCGTGCATGCGATGGGAGCTCCACCATGTCAGCCGAGACTGGGCTTGGTACACGTTTGAGGGCTGCATCTGGAATGGGTGACGGAGTTGAAGGGACTCAGATGTCGGGGCCTCAGCAACCTGTTCCTCCCCAACCCCAGCCACTGGCTTCCCAATCCATAAACCCTCCTCCTCCTGAGACTACCAAAATCAACCAATCCAAGCGTCAGACCAACCAATTACAGTACTTGCTTAAATCTGTTCTTAAAACGTTATGGAAGCACCATTTTGCTTGGCCCTTTCAGCAGCCTGTGGATGCTATCAAACTCAACTTGCCTGTAAGTACACCAATGAGGAACTGTGTCTAAGAAGGTTTATTTGGATGAGCTGGATACCTTTTATAGCTTAAAGGAACACTATAGTCACCTAAACAACTTTAGCTTAATAAAGCAATTTTAGTGTGTAGATCATGCCTTAGGTTTTACTGCTCAATTCACTGCCATTAAGGAGTTAAAGGGACACTCCAGACAACCAGGCCACTTCTGGCCATTGTAGTGGTCTGGGTGCCAACTCCCACTACCCTTAACCCTGCAAGTATAATTATTGCAGTTTCATAAACTGCAATAATTACCTTGAAGGGTTAAGTCCTCCTCTAGTGGCTGTCTACTACTAGACAGCCGCTAGAGGACACTTCCGTGTTCATAGTACATGGAAAGTGTACTATAACGTCGCTGGACGTCCTCATGCTACGTGAGGACCTCCAGCGTCGCTGAAATCCTCATAGGAAAGCATTATTCAATGCTTTCCTATGGGGAGGTCTAATGCGCGTGAGCGGCATTGCCGCGCATATGCATTAGGTCTCAGCCGGCCGCGCATGCTCAATAGTTCTCCCCCGCCCGATGACGTCACTTTCAATCACATGTAATTTACCTTAAACAATTTTATCTCCTGCTCTGTAAATTGAACTTTAATTACATACAGGAGGTTCTTGCAGGGTCTAGTACACTATTAACATAGCAGGGAATAAGAAAATCTAAATTAAACAGAACTTGCAATAAAGAAAGGATAAACTTGAGATGACTCTCTTTACAGGAAGTGTTTTGGAAGGCTGTTCAAGTCACATGCAGGGAGTTGTGACTAGGGTTCATAAACAAAGTTATTTAACTCCTAAATGGCAGAGAATTGAGCAGTGAGTCTGTAGGGGCATGTTCCATACACCAAAACTGCTTCATTAAGCTAAAGTTGTTTTGGTGACTATAGTATCCCTTTAAGTGGTATTTAAAGGGACACTATAGTCACCAGAACAACTACAGCTTATTGAATTTGTTCTGATAAGAGAAAATGCAGTGTTTACATTACAGCCTAGCGATAACTTCACTGGCCACTCCTCAGATGTCTGTTAGAGATCCTTCCTCGGTTATGGCTGCCTAAAATGCTTCCAAACATTCAGTGTCTCCGCCCTCTGCATTCAAACATTGAACCTACCTCATAGAGATTCATTGATTCAATTCATCTTTATGAGGAGATGCTGATTGGCCAGGGCTGTTTTTGAATTCTGCTGGGTCTGCCCCTGATCTGCCTCATTGTCAGTGTCAGGCAATTCTATGGGGACGCATTGTGAATGGATTAAGCTACCACTTCTGCTGATCTCAGCAGGCAGGTCTAAAGGAAACGGGCACAAAGCATGCAGCTGCAGACTTGAGTACAAGTAAGATTTACTATATTTAGGGAGACAGAGGAGCTAGATGGTCATTTTAACCCTATGGGGTCAGGAATATATGTTTGTGTTCCTGACCCTATAGTGCTCCTTTAATAAATTATAGTGGATTAGTGTGTGAAATCACATTTTTTTGGCACAAAAAATACCTGGAAACCTAGGATATTATTTCTAATTTGTTTCAGACAGATGATTTTGTCTGTCTAAACTGACAGTCCTCCGAATCGGGGAGCAGTGTGAATTACTTTATATACTTGGTTTCAATAATGCTTCTTATATAAAGTTAGAAGAAGTTCAGTGTAACAGCTTTTCTATATTCTGTTTTTGTGTGTGTGTGTGTGTATGTATGTATGTATGTGTATCTGCGTTAGCATACCAATGCTTCCCATGGGTGATCTCAGCTGAGATTGCAGCAGCGGCTAGACCAGCGCACCGTGGGATATAATGTAATTCTTTTTTTTCTTTCTTTCTTTCCTTTTTTTTTTTTTTTTTTAACACTTGCGATGGGGGGGTTAAATAGTGAGGAGAACACTAGGGCGTCAGGAATACATGTTTATATTCCAGATGCTATATTCAATAGAAATAATTCCTTGAGCATGAGTCAATGACAATTCCATATCTCTCTTTAAAAAGGAGACTAGGAATTGCTTGAATTATTTCTACCGCATCTTGGTTGCAGCATACCTTATAGCAGAATATGGTTTAGCTTACAAAATCATTTTTTGATTGGTGGATATTTGTATATTTCATGTCTTGATGAATCATTACATATTTGGTAAACACCTGCTCCAGAGTGTTTATTTTAATTTAAAATTAATAGAGCTATTGATGTTCTGGTCCTATTACAGAAACTGTTTTGGGGTTACCTTTTGAAGTTCTTGGGCTTTTGGTTATTGCACATGTCTTCATGCACATGAGCTTATTAGCTTGGATAAAACGAAATGCATACAAGTGCATGGTGAGTTTTCATACAGAATATTTTATGGCTACAATAGCTCTCTTGAAGCCTGCAAATCTCAAGAATGGTGTTTGCCATAACATCACTTGTATAAAACATCTTTATTCCAAACATTTTCATTGTTAGATGCTTGTCATGTATCTTGTTTTAGTCTGCCATTTCTTGTTCTGAACTTTGTAAAGATTAAACATTTGTAGAGTGGAAATACCTTGAAAAACGGGATTCATTTACCTCATGCATTAAGTTGCCTTGATTTGTTAAAGGGATCGGCTTCATGTTTATGTGCAACATTGTTTTTTTTATTTTTATTATTATTCTGATAAACTCTGTTGCAGAGATAATTATTTTTACTTTTAAAGCATCAGCATATTTTGATGGCATTTGCCTTTGATTTCTGTAAGCTTGCTCCATTCTGGGAACAACCTTCATGTGACATCCAGCAGTACTGAGCTCTGTTTCCTCCTGCATACAATGCTAATGACTGAGCTATTACTGACCTTGCACCACCTACACTGCTCAGAATCTACCTCTGCTACTCACCCACACTTCATTGCTTTACATTCCACATAAATTATCTAATATGTGGAACAGCCAATATGACTCATACCTCAGCGAGACGTGAACCTGCACATTTTCTAACCTACGTTTTTCAACATATAGCATGAAAATGTTTACAAGAATACCAACTCTGAATAAGCTCTGGATTAATAACAAAAATGGCAAGCTGTGTCCCATGACTGATTCTAGGTAAAATATTTTCATTCTGAGCTCCAGTCTAGAAACTGATGCACATTAATTAGGGGGTTACTACCAGTGTCCTACTTCTGAGTTGTATTTTTTTTTTTTTTTTAAAGTGGCCAAGTGGCAAAACTGCTGGACAACATATTGTTTTTGTTAAAATAACACTCAAGTCCCCATGACAATTTCAGATGAGGTTATGGTGCCAGGAGATCCCCAGGCACTTTCTTACCATGTTTAAACCCTAAGGTTGACCTAAGTGCCAGCTTCTGCAATTGACTTTTAGGAAGCCCAGAGTGCCGCCAGGCAGGAGCACCACTAATTGGAAAGAGCGGTCAGCTGGAGCTCTAAGCCAATAAGTAGTTGCCTATTCATAAAAAAATATTTTCCCTTTGAAAGAAGACATTAATATCTTGTGAGTTCTCTGGGCTATTTGGTTGCTGAGTTAAGAAATGCTATGAATTCTAGTTGGGCTGACAAAAAACACTTTATTTATTTTAAAAAATGCCCTTCTGTTTTTGCTTGCATCATTTCTTTATGGCCCACAAACCTATTGCTCTAATGGCTGACCACCTTCCACCTTTTTGTGTTTTCTCTCAAATAAGGGATATTTGGTCCCTTTCATACCAAGCATTTGCAATCTGCTAATTTTTAATTGTAGTAGTTCCCACTGACTTTAGCAATCAACATGCTGATATTTGCAAACAGAGCTAGAGAGAATGTATATCAGTATGTGGCTAATTCATCATGGAAAGCACTCCATGTGAATTTGATAAATTGCGATACCATCACAAACAGCAGCAAAATGTAGATATTTACTTGAACCTCTTATTTCAGTGCTGCTGTTTTCTTCGTCCTAGTCTCTTGCTCTGGGCAGTCTGCCAGGAGCTGCATCACTATTGTACTCTTGCATGCAAAGAGATGTAGAATCTTCCGTAGATAAATATGTCTAATGAAATGTCATAGGCTGTCAAAGGCTGATATTAAATGGAAAGATCTCCTAACTGATTTAAAATGTGAAATTCTAGCACTTTAGATTTATCATAAAGATTCTATCTTCATACAAAAACTCAAACATGACCATGACACTTGGAAAGAAATGGGTTCAGAAGGACAATGAGGTATGCACCCTGACCATAACTACTGTGATAGGACTTGAGTAGTTATAATCATCCCCTCCTCAACTGCAGATACTGATAGCATTTGTAAATGTCAGTTGCTGCACTTAAGCATCATTCTGACAAACCATTGTCCAAGGGTGTTAATAAGCTTTGAAAACAGTCATAGACTTCCACAACTCAAGCCCCCCTTTATGTAACCCCAAACCCTTTCCTCCACTGGAAAGTTTTTTTTTTTTTTTAAACTCTAGTTATTCAGTGTCCACAACTAGTTGACTCTTGCTGGTTGCTTTTTATTAATGCTATCATTATTTAACACCACTAACAATCTGAAGCTTGGTCTGTTCATGGTCCTTAAATATGTAATGGGTTGAGGGTGATGTTGTTGTCACACAGTAAAAATGTTTTTTTTTTCTTTACCTTTAACTTTTTAGGATTATTATAAGATAATTAAGACCCCAATGGACATGGGCACCATTAAGAAGCGTCTGGAGAACTTTTATTATTGGAATGCCCAGGAATGTATTCAGGACTTCAACACCATGTTTACAAACTGCTACATCTACAACAAGGTAATTCTTCAATATGTCAACTCTCTTTAAATTTACACTATTTGTTTCTTGAGCAATTATTACATTTAATAAAATCAACATTGGATAGTTCTGAAAGTAATATGTTATTCTGCATTACTGTAGCTCTAGTAGGCAATTAAATGTAAAAATGTGATTGTTTCTTCACAAACCCTGTCAAACGTTTGATGGAAAGTATATCTTAGTCTTTTGAAGCAAGGAAGACACATATAGGTGATTGGCCATAGTAGAAATAAAAAGTCATCTATCTGGCACTAAATTATTATATATTAAATGCTTGGAACATTCGGCTTGATATACCTGACAGTAGTAGGAGATAGAGAAGTTTTATGAATTGGTTGGTTATAAACCCCTTATGCAAACACTTGAAATGGCTAAGATATGTCTAGTATGAAACATACAATCCTAGTTGTTTATAATCTTGCGTTTCCTTAATAAGATTCATCTTAAATAGTGACTTTTTCCTATGCTGTGACAAATAGTTTTCCACTCTTTAAGTATGAAGTCATCAATATTATTTGTCCATCTTAAACTGATCTTCTAAAAAATTTGCTTTATGATCCAGCACTGTCAGCTAATGCTAAATAATGTAAATAAAGAATGACACTTAATATGTAGACTCTTATATGATTTACTAAAGGAATCCTTTTATATATTTGGACTGGCAATAACAATTTTTCTTTTTTTAAATCTCTTTCTGTGTTTCCAAGCCTGGAGATGACATAGTATTGATGGCTGAAGCCTTAGAGAAACTATTCCTACAGAAGATCTCTGAAATGCCCCAGGAGGAGACTGAACTGAACATTGTACAGAACAAAGGACGAGGCAGAGGAAGGAAGGAACCAGGTGATTTATTTCTCCTTTTTCTGGAAGAATGTATCCGGGTTTCAAATAGGGCAACAGCCCAAAGGGAAAATAAGGGAAATGTGAAATTTTGAATAAAGAGATATTTTATCTTGCCATGATCTTTTCCAGATGCTCCAGTTACCCCAATGAGAACCCGAGTTCTGTCAGGATCCCAAGCAGAAAAGACCCCAAATCCCCCTGTGACAGGTAAGTTGTATACAGGCCCTGTGCTATACATATTCTTTAAACATTTCACATTGAGACTATATTACATGTGATCCTTTTATTTTCAATGGTAAATATTGGATTTTTCCTTTGAATTGTCATGATTTTCTTTAAGCTCTTAACATATTAATTAACAGCCAACAGCTCATACCTTTCTTTAACCCTACTGGAAATCAGTTTGGTCTTAAACAAAAAGATTTGAGATAAAATGCAACTTTCAGATGCCCATATTCAAACCGTTAGATCAGGTACACCTAATTGTCATGAGCCTGGTTTTACTTTAGTGCAAATAACTCAAAACAGTTTTGCATTACTGTTAGATTGCCATCAGTTACTGTTTGTGTATTTGTGTGTCTGTGTATGTATGTGTGTGTGTGTATGTGTATATATATATATATATATATATATATATATATATATATATATATATATATATATATATATATACACATACATACACACATTATAAAAACACTTTTACATCTAAGAGCTAATATGGTAAAAGGTGTGTTCATGGGCCTTTACATTTGACTGAAACCCATTCAGGTTTCAGATTTTATTGCACTGTAGTAGCTCTGTTTTTGTTTTGTTTTAACTTAAGTCAGTTGAATAGAAATCCAGAGAACTCCCAGATTTGCTTAAACTACAATATTATTTGCTTTTTCTCCCTCAGCTGTCTCTAAACCACCAACCCCTTCACCGCCTGTTGTGACTCGTGCACCATCACCTCCTCAAACCAGACCAGTACCTGCTCGGGCTCCTGCAGTTACGCAGTCTCCCATTACCTTCTCCCCTACCATTACACAGGACCTAGGTGTACCCACAATAGTGACCCCTTCTGCCTCTCAACCTATACAAAATCACCCTCCAATTATCCCAACTGCAGCACAGCCTGTAAAGGTAAGATGAATAAATTAGAAATTAAAATTATAAGAAAAATAACACACTAATGTACATGTTTAGTGTATTCTTACCCCTTAATGTTTTCATGTTTTTTTATGTTGCAGCTTTATGCTTTAGGTTGTTTTTTGTTTTGTTTTTTTTATAAGGGAAAGCAAAAAATATATATATTTTTTTGACATTTGGGTAGTTTCTGCCTTTGATCTATGCATAGCCTTCAAGCTCGGTAGGCAATGTCAGTGAGCAGCCATTTTCAGGTCACTCCAGAAATGTTTGATTAGGTTCAAGTCCGGGCTCTGGCTGGACTATTCAAGGATATTCACAGAGTTGTCCCTATGCCACTTTTACATTGTGTAGTCTGGATCATTGTCCTGTTGTAAGGCAAGCATTCGCCCCAATTTGAGGACCTGAACGCACTGGAGTATGTTTGCATTAGGATATCTCTTCAACAATACTTGTTTGTGTTACATGTTACATAGCTGAAAAGAGACTTGCGTCCATCAAGTTCAGCCTTCCTCACATATGTTTTTGCTGTTGATCCAAAAGAAGGATATAAACCTAGTCTGAAACTCTTCCAATTTTGTGCTCCTGACCCTATAGTGTTCCTTTAAAGATTATCCAGAGAAATGGGATGTATTTAAGCTACATTTTAAGTGCCACAGCGAAAAGTCCAAATACTTATATCAATGTTTTATTGGCGACACAGTTGAAATAGTTCATCTCTCACAAGAGCCTTTTTCAAACCTTTGCTTACTTGGCATGACAAAACCTTGCAAGACTTGAGACATTGTTCCTGTATCTTTAATAATAATGCCGGTAGATAGTTTTCAACATGCCTCGTCCTCCTTTTTTACACTTCATGTAAATAGTATGAGCTCCACAGGCTGCTGCATAAGACATTGTGCATCTTAATGAATAAACTGGGAGCAGGGTGACAAGTTTGTTTTCTTATCCATTCCCAGAAAGTCAAAAGTTGAGCTATGGCAGAGACAAATCACTTTTAAGACCTAGTTACTATAATAAGATTTGAAATTGTATTGGTATGTTTGGTTATACATGGCAGTGTGCTTGATTACATGTATATTGTATTTGTAAAGATTGCTTTTAAAAGTTTTTTTTGTTGTTTTTTCTTTACTAACATTTTGTCCCCTCAATCAATAGACAAAGAAAGGTGTGAAAAGGAAAGCAGACACGACAACTCCAACTGCTCATGATCCCTTGCATGAGTCCTCTCCAGTCCCCAGTGAGCCCAAGCCACCCAGAGCAGGCCCACGACGGGAGAGTGGTCGCCAGCCTCGTCCAGCCAAGAAAACTGAGGTGCCTGACTCCCAGCTGCCTGCACCCCCTGTTCTTCATCCACCGCCACAACCACCTGTTGTCCAAGAGAAAAGCAGCAGTGGCAACAAAACTTCTGAGCAGCTGCGCTATTGTGCAGGCATTGTCCGGGAGATGTTTGCCAAGAAGCACAGTGCCTATGCCTGGCCCTTTTACAAACCGGTGGATGTGGATGCACTGGGGCTCCATGACTACTGCGACATTATAAAGCATCCCATGGACCTTGGCTCCATCAAGGTGTGAGGAGTTTCTGAATCTTTGCATATACAGTAATTTTAATATGTTAAAGGGCATATAAACAATTTCATTTCAATAATGTTGTAATGGTGCCAGGAGGTCTTAGGTGCTACCTTACATTAAGGGGTTAAACCGTGTTTGAATGGTTTAATCCCAGAGTTATGAAGGTGGTGTCCATCCACTGTGCCCCCTGGCTTCTAGCGATGTCCAAGAGTTCAATGAGAAACCCTTGGAGAAGTAGAGTACTGGGCACCACAGATAGGCTATCACTAGCTTCCCATTAGCAAACCTGTTGGAGAAAGGTTTTGTGAATGGGAAGCTAGTGATAGACTGAGAACGTCAGCCGCTGTTCTCAGCCTATCAGCGGCACCCAGTACTCTGCTTCTCCAGTATGACTCCACATGATGAAGAAAGGCAACCTAGTACATGATTTTCCTAGTGTAATACTAATGTAGTTTACAGGGGAAGATTTATTAAAGTGTTGCAGAAAGTTATCTATGCAATTTTCACGATACTTATGGCACACTTTATTAAATCTGTCTGATTTCTTTTATCTTTCATTATTTTGGGTGTGTGACATTTTTTCACCTATGCAATAGATGTATGATTTTTTTTTTTTCAACCACTAAAAACATGGCTTTCTTCTGAAATGGAAATTTCTGTGTAAACTGGCAGAATTTACTGTAAAGAAAACTCACTTTTGTAGATCAGATTACTAACTAAATAATGACAAAATGTAACTGCCAATATTCAAAACACTTTGCCCCATTGTGTCACTTGACACTCTCTCTCCCCTTCTCTTTTTAGATTTGTACTCTTGTACATCAGACTTTATTATAGTGCTTCGGAAGATAAATGCTCAATTTTAATATAGAATAACATGATGAGATAATAATGTAACATCAGCATTGCTAATATATGACATATTTGGTAAGTCAGTCCTTGGTTTAATTCAAAAGGGCTATTAACCTACTTAAAGAAGCAAAGAGGCAATTGAAGTAGGACACATGCACAGGTTTTATATCACACACAAAAAAATCATTGGCTTAAATTTATGAAAGTCTTAATTGAACTGAATCTTAATCTGCCCAATTGTGCTAGCCAGTTGACTAGTATATGTATAGATTACCAGATATCAAAGAAAAAATAATCAATAGTCAGCTATATTTGAGCAAGAGAGCGTTTTTTCTCTCTCTCCCCCCCCCCCAAATGATTACATGCAATGATTAAGCCCACTGTCATTATTCATCAAAGAGGTTGTCTGTCAGTACTAAGCATTTCTAAGCCATTTACATTTCCTAAAGCTAGTGGGGGATATTTTCATAATTCCGCAATATAACAGTTGTTTGAAAGCCTGGGTTATACACACATCACATATTTTTCCTAGGTGAATGCCTGCTAAAGACTTTATTGATAACCAGATTTTTGAGCATTGGCCTCTTTTTTTCCCTCCCCTGTAGTTGAAGCTGGAGAACCGTGAGTACCGGGATGCTCAGGACTTTGCCTCAGATGTGCGGCTCATGTTCTCCAATTGCTACAAGTACAATCCACCTGACCATGAGGTGGTGGCCATGGCCCGCAAGCTTCAGGTAACATACAGGGATGAGGATGGAAGGACACCACCTCCAGTTAGATAGAAAAGTTCTGTTTTTTTTACGAGGAAGTATCACGTACTTCAAGCAGAATCATTTGCTTTTAAGCAGCCATACATTAGTTTATTTGTTATGGACTAATGGGCTGTGTGCAGAGAGATTTTATGCTGGATGGGTTGGAAATAGAATTGGCATACTGGAATGGGACTTATTGGAGTGAAATTGTAATTGTTGATGTGTAGCGGACAATATATTTTACATAATTTTAAGGATGTTTTAAGGAGAAGACATGTTAAATCAATGTATTCTTGTTTTAAGCAAAATAAAAATCATATATTTTATTATAATAATAAACATGTTCATTGTATATTTGTTTAATTTTAGATACAATTTATCTTTACAATTTTTTTAGGTAAATCAGTATATCACTGGATTGATAGCTGGCAAGTCAGGCAACAGTAAAGTTGATAGAAAAAAGGTGCTTATACATTGTCTGCCATTTAACATTTTGACTATGCCTTTAGAAAGATGGGTCCATAAGTACTTTCTTAATTAACTTGGCAATAACTTTGAAGCGGGATACAATTGTGAGGGGGAAAAAAAAGCAAAAACAAAACAGCAAGATTCGCATAATGATTGTATTATGCTAAAAGCAAAAACACGAGAGTCAAGTTAAAATCAAAATCAATTATTATTTAGTGAAGAATGCGTTGTATTTATTGTTGTCAGTAGTAGTGTCGACATTGTGTGGCCGAGAAAAGTATAATTTCTAAGCAAGTGTGTGTGGAAGAGTTTCTTGATTAACAAAGCCAAGGTGGGCTAGGACTTCTGACAGATAGCAAGACACAGGTTTGCAGCACATTTAACAGTTTGCTCATGTCTAGCCTTGAGGGAGTTGTGTGGTATAATGAAAGGCAATACAAATCGAACTATACGGGTGGAGGGATAATGGATTAGCTTGTTGCATAGTTTTATTTACACCCAAACACTGTAAGCTGGCTTGTTTGTGATCCATTCCGTTTTCATTCTTGCTCTAGGATGTTTTTGAAATGCGGTTTGCCAAAATGCCAGACGAGCCAGAAGAGGCATCTGGTGCAGCACCCTCACCTGCCCCAGGGCCCCCCGCTCCTTCTATCAAGGGGCCACCTCCCACCTCCAGTGACAGCAGTAGCGACAGCTCTTCAGACAGTGAGAGCAGTTCAGACAGTGAGGAAGAGAGGGCACAGAGACTAGCAGAACTCCAGGAACAGGTAAGTAATGGACTAGAAATTTTATTGTGCAAAGAATGTATTGGCAATGAGCAATGTGAGAGAGAGATTTTTAGTTTAAACAAGCTATGTCAGTTGTCCATAATTAGGTTATATTAAGGATTTAGTTTGATCTGGGAGATCATGCGGCATGTTCTGGTTTAGAGTATAAAATAGGCATGCCTTGCTTTGAAATTTCTTGACTTTGATGTGTTAACTTATTGCAGTTGAAGGCTGTACATGAGCAGTTAGCGGCACTTTCTCAGCCGCAGCCGAACAAACCAAAGAAGAAGGAACGTGAAAAGCGCAAGGAGAAGCACAAGAGGAAAGAGGAAGTTGAGGAGCCACGAAAGACCCGAGTTCGGGAACCTCAAGCCAAGAAACCTAAGAAAAGTACTCAAGTACCTGGGACAACACCAAGGTACGTGAATAACTATCACCAGTCTCTTAACAGCTTCTAGTTATTCAACATATTCCATATTATTTTAACATTGTATGTACAATAAAGCTTCTTACATGACAGATATTTCTGATAGTTATAGGGATGCGCCGAAATTTCGGTGGCCGAAAATGGGTCAAATTTGCAGAAATGTTAAATATATATATATATATATATATTTATTAGAGCATAGTTTAACAGACATACTTGCATTAACAATTCAGATGATTATATATCACAATGAAATATGGTAATGATAACCTGAAAAGTCAAGAATACTTCACTTGGGGGTGCACTGTGGGACAGGGGAGGGGTCGGAGAACACTGTGGGACAGGGGAGGGGAGACAAAAAAAACACTAAAAAAGAGAGAGGGGAGAAGGGGGGACGACCACTAAAAGTGATGGGAGAAGGGAAGTTTTTCACATTAGATTACTTAAATTCATTAAGTCTAATAATACAATTTTAGGGAAAAAAACTTTTTTTAAATCATTTGAGGAAAAAAGTTGTTTTCGGCCAAGGGCATCCTGAATTTTCGGTTTCGGCCCAGAATTTTCATTTTGGTGCATCCCTACTTGGTTGTTCACGTTTCTCTAAGTAACCACAAGAATGGAAACCATCCTTTTTGTAATGTTTGTTAATTTATGTATAATAATGAGAAAGGGGAACAGTACTAGCAATTTTAGCCCATCTGCAAAAAGGTCTTAAAATACAGCTTTAATGAGAACTCCATTTTTTATAACACTGTGCAAAATACAAAGTTTATAAGTAATATACATTTTCCCAATGGTACTTTCCATTATGAAGTGAGGATGTCTTTTAAAACTTTATTGACCGGTATAAAAGCGTATGCTTTGTCTGACTGTTTGAGTGTCTACTATAGAGAAAAATATTCTTATGCAAATATATTTGTAAGATGCACACTAGTTCTTTAGACAGCAGTACAAATTACTGCAGCCACCATGACCGCTTCTGTTTTTTGAAGTGGTCAGGTGGGAAGACATCTGTATGTGCAACGTTTCACCTTGAAACACTGCATAATCAGAGATATTAACACTTTTGTGCCGGGACTATCGTCTAGTTCTTTCGTCAGTGCACATTGCACAATGGCGACGGGGTAGTGAATTTCTACCTTGTAATGGGAAGCTTCTGTCTTCCTTCTTTTCCTCCTGTGATCCTAGCCAGCCTCCCCTCATTTAATAATTTATTGCTATTGTCTTGCTTTTTTTGTTTTTCCGTTTCTAATTCCCTCCATCTGTCCACCCCTATTTAATTTTCTCTCCTCCCCAAATGGTAAGAAAGTCCAATCAAATGCTTCTCTGTAAGAAGCATTTGATTGGACCATAGATGGGAAGTAAATTACATGGCATGATGAGACTGCGTGCAAATGAATTTCAGGTAAGTTTTTACTTCACTTTTATCCAGGTTTTCAAAAGGAATGGTATGGGGAACCTTTTAACTAGTGCCAAAATAGGGCACTATAAAGTAAAAAAGAAAATTAAAAAAGGGTTGGTATAAACATTAGTGTGGAATTGTGAGATTTCTGTGTCCAATCGAGGACTGTATTTGCAGTAAAGCTTATTTTCTCTTTGAAATTCCATATTCACATGTCACTTCTCTCCCTTCTCCTCTCTTTAGTGTACTGACTTTTGTCATTCTTTTGTATTGCATTGGACTTTATCAGTCTCATATTCTCCAACAGTATAAAAAAAGAAGCACCACCCCCTGTTGCAAGACCTCCTCGCCCGCCTCCACCTCCTGCTCCCTGTGAGTCTTCAGAAGAGGAGCCGCAGCGTTGTCGACCCATGTCCTATGAGGAGAAACGCCAGCTGAGCTTGGACATAAATAAATTGCCAGGAGAAAAGCTGGGTCGGGTAGTACACATTATACAGTCACGAGAACCCTCTCTTAAGAACTCCAATCCTGATGAAATTGAGATAGATTTTGAGACCCTTAAACCGTCCACACTTCGAGAGCTAGAAAGATATGTCACCTCCTGCCTAAGGAAAAAGCGAAAGCCACAAGGTGAGTGAGGTGCACAGGGGGGAAAAAATCACCTTTGTTTTTCCATTGTATTAGGGATGGATTGAGAGGGGACATTACTGATGAATAAAATCACTAATAATAACAAAGTATTTAACCAGGAAAGGTACATTCAGATCACTCTGGTTTCCAAGTACGTCCTGGGGTTTTCAAGTAAATGGCCAAGCAGCTCAGCTAAGTTAAATGAGAAATGATGTGTCTCAAGATAACTTTTTAACCTGATCTTAGTCTGCTTTTTACCAAGATGGTTAAAGCCAAGATGGTATGCCCTCAATTCCTTCATAGAATAAGTAACAATAGTTATTTTTAATGAACTTTCATTTAATTACCTGTGATTTTAGAAGGTTTCTTCTTGAGGAGATGGAATCTAATCTTATTGAGGGAAACCTGAGAGTTACAGTAAAGAATGTCTAAGATGCAGTAAACTGTCCATGTCAGGGAACAATTTCTGCTTTTTCCAAACTGTCAATCACATGATAAATTATTTTATGATTTTTATTTTTTCCTTATTACTCTTAACAGATAAAATAGATGCTCCCTCTTCTGGCTCCGGTAAAGTTAAAAACTTCTCATCTTCAGAGTCTGAGAGTTCAAGCGAGTCCAGCACCACAGACAGCGATGAGTCCGACTTAGGTCAGATCTTTTCTCCATATATATGTATATGAACATGTGCTTCTTTTAACCATCTTCTGTGATTGTATGGAAAACAGCTTGCACTATATCGTTACAGACTCTTCTCACCTATATACAGATGTAATCATAATTATTCAGTCACGTTTATTGTCAAATTTTAGACATTCAGCTGTTTGCAATGAACAAATTCAACAAAAGCAATTGAAATAACTCAACACAACAAATGCTTTAAGAAGTTTCCCTAAATTCAACTGAAAATTTTACTTATAATGACTTCTCCAGTCTCAAAATTATTCAACCCCCTGAGTAGAATCCCTCAAAACAGCACAAATATGCAAAACAGGCTTTGTCTCAAGCACACCTGATGCAACTAATCAAGGGCTTAAATAGTTGCACAAGGTGTGCTTGAACTGGAAGACTTGAAATACCTTAAATGGCTAGGGGTTTAGTGTCACATTTGATTGCATATTAGAAATCTGGGTAAGTCAAAAGAATGGTCCACAAAATTAAGAGAAGAGATCATCGCCCTTCACAAACAAAGAACAGGAAACAAAAAGATAGTGAAGGCACTAAATGTTCCTAGAGACATCGTTGGAAGCATAGTTTGCAAGTTCAAAGATTAAGGAAGGCAGAAGCCAGATTTCTGAGAAGACAGGTTGTGAAAAACCCTTGAAGGACTGCAAAAGACCTGCAGCAAGATTTGGTGGCAAAAGGCACTGAGGTTTTAGTAAGCACAGTAACCGTATATTATACTCAGAAGGTTTCCATGCCAGAACTCCAAGACGTACTACTGACCCAAACCACAAGAAAAGTCAGCTTCAGTATGATCAAAATCATATAAATAAGCCACAGACGTTTTGAGATTCCCGTTCTATGGAGTGATGAAACAAAACTAGAAGTGTTTGGCCCAATGGATCAGCGGTATGTCTGAAGAAGAATGAAGCATATGCTTACAAGAACACCCTGCCTACAATTAATGGTGGTGGCTTGGTGATGCTCTGGGGCTGCTTTGCATCCTCTGGCACTGCAACCCTACAGTCTGGAAGGCAATATGGATCCATTGAAGTATTAGCATGATGTTTTCTCCAAGGATTTCCTATCTGTGAGGAAGCTTGGGCGTCATTGGACCTTCCAACAAGACAATTATCTCAAACATAACTCAAATTCAACCAAGGCTTGGTTGCAAAATAAGTCTATAGAAAATACATTACTTTTACATTTAGCTTCTTACTTTGGAGAATTATATTTTCTTTCTCATCATCCTGTATGCCGACTAAGGGTGATGTGACTAGTAAAATATATATATATATATATATATATATATATATATACACACACACAAATAAACTAGTTTTTGACTTAACTATAAAATGAAACCAAAGTTTCTTTTTAATTGTATCCATCCACATTATTTTATTTTTGTATAGACAGAAAAAGAATGAAACATAAGTAATCCTAGGTGGTATAGAGCCATACATTATTAAATAATTTTATTCTATGCACTAAGATGATAAATGTGCATTATTACGTTGTGGTGCTAGGGAAACATACATGTTTGTGTGTGTGTGTGTGAGAGTTGTCTTAAGGCTGTAATTGATAGTGAGCTTTGTTTTTTTGTCTTTTACATTGAACTTGACATGTCTAATGCATTGTTCAGTTTCCCTTGGCATTATTTGCATTGGTTTCAGTCCTTCCTTTCGGTGAATTTAGATCACATTAGTAGTAATGTAACCTGCTTTTTATGGTCTTTTGACATCATAGTATGGTTTAAATATCACTTGCTATGCAGTGGCACATCCTATTTCTAAATCAAACATGAGAGAGAGATTTGGGGAATAATTTCTTATAATGTCTTTTTTTTAATTATTGTTTTTTTTTTTTTTTTTTCTCTACAGAAACTGCTCCAAAGCAGAAAAAGAAGAGTCACTCAGGGAGAGAATCTAGAAAGGTAATTGTGCAATCTTGTATTTTCGCTCAATGCTTTGAATCTCTACAGTTGATTGAATTATTTCAAATGTATTCTGTAAATAGAGGTTTCAGTCAGTAAACCTTTCTCATTTTTTTGTTTATCCATAATGTTGATGTTTTATGAATGTAGTGTGGTTTGATCACCCAATTAAAATGTTATCCTTTCCCATGCTCCTTCTTTAAGAATTGTTATATTAATCATTAATGCAGGGCTCAAAATTTCCACTAGCGATTGGAAAGTAAAAATGTCACCTCGACAAGTAGAAATTCACTTCTTGTGATTCTGCTGGGCATCCTACAGGGTTCCAGTGGCAAGTAACTTTTCATGTTAGTAGCATAGGACTTGGAATTTTAAGCCCTGCATTTAGGACTATAATGGGTAAACACTTGTATGAGCTGAAGCATTGATCTTCTTCAGTTGTACCTGGCTAGATCCAAATATTAAGCTTAATTTGTGTTGAGGTTTTTATTCCTTCTGGTTTTTTTTTTTAGCCTTCTCACTGTGAAATCCCTTTTTTTCTCATTTTAGAGTTGTTTTTCCCTGTATCTTTTCTTTCTCTCTTTGTTCATTACAAATGCAGATTACATGATGCATTGTTGTCGCCCACATTTCTGCTAAACAAACTGTAGGATTGTTTTAAGTAGTATCATGGTTTATTATGATGTTTCCAGAACACCTAAATATTTTTCTATAATAAATGGTTGTATTGCAGTGTCTTATTTCTCCTGGAAACTGATTCACGATTTTACATTCCAACAGCACCATCACCAGCCTCATCCTGCTCCACAACCAGTTGTCCCTCCTCCTCCTGTTCTTAAGCCACTGTCTCCTGCTGCTCCTCCTTCTTACCCTACAGCCTCAACCCTGGAAACCACCCACCCTTCTCTCCACCACCCTCTACATTCTGGTAGTGTCTTTGAAGCAGTGACCCCCCATTATGGACAGCAAGTTTTACACCTACCTGCTCCTGATCTTCCACCACATCTAACAGGGCAGCCGGATCACTGTTCACCCCCACATCTAAACCAACATGCCCTCATCAGTCCTCCTGGTAAGAGTTCAGTTTGTCTTTCAGGACTCCTGTGCATGCTAGAGAACATGATTAGGCAAAAGCAGGGACAAAGTGCATATATAAGTTCACTATTGCTGTTTGTGTGCAGAGCGTGTGATTGTTAAAATTCTGTGGAATTAGGAAGTGTTTTAGAATTGATGATTACCTAATGTTTGAAAAAATTTTTTTATTCTTCTAACAGCTCTACACAATGCCATGCCCCAGCAGCCTTCTCGCCCTTCCAATCGTGCTGCTGCTCTCCCACCAAAACCTGCTCGGCCTCCATCTGCCTCACCACCTGCCCCTCAACCCCATCACCAACCTCCCCCTCAATCCCACCATCATCATTCTCAGCCCCCCCATGCCTTGCTTGAGGATGATGGACCTCCTTCACCTCCCAGTGGTCTCCCTCACTCTCCTATTCAGCTGGGCCCTGCACAGATGGCGCACTACCTGCAACAGTTTCAAAAATCTCAGCAACCTCCTGCCCAGTCTCCTTTGCAGCCTCTCCTACCCTCTGTGAAAGTACAGTCCCAAGCACCACTGACTGCTCCTTCACAGTCAATGCGACACCTGCATTCTTTGGCTTACACTACTCCTCCTCCTTCCTCGGGTACCACAGTTCCTCAACCCCCTTCACATGTGCACCAGTTACAGTCTCCTGCTGTTGTCTCTCAACCACAACCTGTTGTGCAGGCTCCACCTGCATCACAACAGCAGCATTCAGCACTGCAAGGCTCCTTGACTGCTCCACACCAGCAGCATGCACAGCATCAGCAGGCAAAAACACAACAAGTAATCCAGCATCATCACCCATCACCACGTCAGCAAAAGCAAGAGGCTTACCCTGGAGGTAAGATTGGGAAAGGGGTGTTTCTTGGAGAATAATATAGAGGAGGAAAAGTTATGTTATATAAGAATATCAAAAAAGGAGTGGTAGAGTTTACATAGAAAAGAGAGAATGGGCCTGGGCAGAAATATATTTTGTTACATACCTTCCCCTATTTGGTCTGTCTCCAGGTCATTTGCGAGAAGCCCCTTCCCCTCTTCTCCTTCATTCGCCTCAAGTTCCTCCTTTTCCAGGCTTGCCACTCCCTTCCTCACCGCAGGCTGTGCAGCCCAAGAAACAGGTAATTATTTTGAAAAGCCATATCCACCTTTTTTACGTGCTTTGCCTTTGTGCTGCTCCTGACATTTTCCCCTGTTTAACCTTTTCAATCAGAAGTTTTCTCCATTCAACTTTGTCTTTCCTATGCTTCATTGTCACTTCCTGCATTTGGTAATCTACATATTGATGTATAGTCTAGTAATTACTTCTACTTCTCAGGATATAAAAGGAGCATCAGTTCTCCAGCCTCAGCCATTTGTGGTGAAGGAGGAGAAACGTCAATCACCATCACTTCGTCCTGAAAGCTTCTCACCAGGAATGATCAGAGCTGAGCCTCAGAAACTCCAGGAGGCCCTAAAGGGTGCCAGCCACAGCCAACCACGTCAGTCTTAAGTCATGTCTTTCCCTTGTATAGATTTTTCCTGTTCTGAACCTGTATGTATGATGCAGTTCCTGCTTCCCTATAATGCTCCTATCCTCATAATTTTAAAATGGTGTGAGTCTTTTTCCCAGCATGTCGCCTTTCAATCCCCAGTTTTTCTTTTTCCCTTTATTTTTTTTAATTTACAAAGCCTTGCTGGTTTCTTAGTCTCTTACATTTTTCTTTTCAAAACCAGGACCAGATTTAAAATCTATGGATGGAGGCCGAACTGTAAAACCACCTGAGCAGATCATCCCACCACCGGGGGTCTCAGAAAAGGAAAAGCAAAAGCAAGAACCTAAGACGCCTGTTGCACCTAAAAAGGTTAGTATTTTATAAGCATTGTAAAGATTTAAGTGTGACCTAACCTCCTCTTACAGCCAGCTCACATTCTTATGCATATGTCATGATGCTCTCTAGCCAATTATTAATATAGTCTTAATTTACCTGGACCTCCTTCCCATCTGGAGAAATATCAAAACATTTGCATCTCACCCTATACACATTCCTAGTTCAAGTTCTGCCTCCTAACTTTTTCTGACTCCTATACTCATTTCATATACATTTGCATGGAGATATTGTCCTTCCCCTATACTGATTTATAATTATTGAAACCAACTAGCATAATAAAGCATTTCTGCTTTGTAGAGTGTCCAAGGCTCTAAATTAGTTTGAAAGCATGGAAACAAAGTTCCATCGACTTCTTTCCATTGCTTTTTCAATATTTTGTAATGGACTAGATATTCAAAATGCAGATTGTCCTTTCAGTCCTCTGACTTTGTATATAATCGTTGTCTCCTTCAGGACCTAAAGAACATAGCACGTTGGGCCACTGTGACACAGAAACCAACAGTCACTCCACCTGCACCGTGCAAATCGTCCAGCGATAGCTTTGAATTATTCAGGCGTGCAGCACGTGAAAAGGAAGAACGTGAGAGGGCTCTAAAGCTCCAGGCTGAGCAAGCCGAGAGGATGCGCAGAGAGCAAGAGAGGATGAGGTAATATAAAATATTTGTGTAAAACGGTACTTGTTTAAACAAAGTATAAATGCTCATGCTTAATGGCCATGTGTATTTTCCATTTAAAGGATGATTGACGAAGGAGGTTTAGTGAAAATACGGGGTCGGGGAATACATATTGAGTATGACTCCTTTTTGTAAATGCCAGGATGCTCTCAATGCACATCAAATGAGGCTAAATATAATACACAGTTAGGAGTGAGCAATTAATTTGTTACATTCTCTCCATTTCTACTATTCTTGGCACATAGTTAACAACCTGTAAAGTAACTTTGTCTGATTGAAAATAAAACCATTATGTTTTCATGTAGCCTCTGTCAGTCATAACCATGGGGTGTGGCTCAGGCTGCATAGACAGAAACAAAAGTGATTTAACTTTTAAATGGCAGCAAATTCAGCAGTGAGACTTCAGAAACATAGAATGTGACTGCAGATAAGAACCATTCGGCCCATCTAGTCTGCCCAATTTTCTAAATAGTCTCATGAGTCCCTGACCTTATATTATAGCTAGGATAGCCTTATGCCTATCCCACATTAATTCAGAGGTATGATCTGTACACCAAAACTGCTTCATTAAGCTAAAGATGTTTTGGTGACTAGAATGTACAATTGAAACCAGGAAAAATAAGCTATATGTTTGGTTCCTAATACTGACCATAACACTCACCATACAGTATGATTGAGAATGTTTTTGTTAAAGGATCACTATAGGGTCAGGAACACAAACGTATTCCTGACCCTATAGGGTTAAAACCACCATCTAGCCCCCCTGGTCCCCTCATGCATCCCTAAAAATAGTAAATTCTACGTGTATTCAAGTCTGCAGCTGCATGCTTTGTCCCTGTTTCCTTTAGACCTGTCCACTGCGTGCTGACATCAGCAGAAGTGGTAGCTTAATCCAATCACAATGCTTCCCCGTAGAATTGGCTGACAAAGAGGCAGATCAGGGGCAGAGCCAGCAGAATTCAAACACAGCCCTGGCCAATCAGCATCACCTCATAGAGATGAATTGAATCAATTAATCTCTATGAGGAAAGTTCAGTGCAGAGGGAGGAGACACTGAATGTTTGAATGCATTTTAGGCAGCCATGACCCAGGAAGGATCTCTAACAGAGGAGTGGCCAGTGAAGTTATCAATAGGCAGTAATGTAAACACTGCATTTTCTCTGAAAAGACAGTGTTTACAGCAAAATGCCTGAAGGTAATGATTCTACTCACCAGAACAAATTCAATAAGCTGTAGTTGTTCTGGTGACTATAGCGTCCCTTTAATAAGCGTATGCACCCACAATGTACAACACTACCTAATAGGCTGTTGTAACCTGCATCACATAATATAACCTACCAAGTTAGCAAAGGCAATCAAAATGCACACTAGGCATTATAATCACTTCATCTCATTGAAGCAATGTGCCTTTATTCTACATTAAACTTTTTTGAACAGTTTAACACTGAATAAGAATTCCCAGCAACCTGCATCCTAGCAAAGGCGGAGATTACCATCTGCAGTACAGAGAGACCAGGCTAGACACGAATGCAGCATAAAAAATGTTTTAAAACCGTTTAACGTTGAATGTTGGAAACGCACAAGGAGGAACGAGGCACTATAATCACTTCAATGGGATGAAGTGGTTATAGTGCCTAGAGTGACCCCTTTAAAAGTTCAGTGTCTGCATGCAGAGGGTGGAGACACTGAATGTTTGGATGCATTTTAGGCAGCCATGACCCAGGAAGGATCTCTAACAGACATCTGAGGAGTGTCCAGTGAAGTTATCACTAGGCTGTAATGTAAACACTGCATTTTCTCTGAAAAGACAGTGTTTACAGCAAAAAGCCTGAAGGTAATGATTCTACTCACTAGAACAAATTCAATAAGCTGTAGTTGTTCTGGTGACTATAGTGTCCCTTTAACCTCTTTATCCCTGTACTCTGAAGGTAATTGTAGATTTATTTAATGGAATTTGACATTGTATGAAGTATATTGTACTTGATGACTATTTCAGATAACATAACATGACATGACATTAGTTCAGTATACAAATAGTACTAATATTCATGAAAATGCCTATAGTGTTTCTATTGGCAATTTAATAGAATTAATTGTTTCCTTTCGTGTGCTGTGAGGGAAAGTATTGTTACATAATGGGTGGCAATATTTTTTGTGAGCCAAAAATCCTTGGTGTAAGAGAAATCTTATAGATCTCCAGTCTCTAAACTTTCATGGGTTAAATCATTAGCCTGGGAAATAAAAATAGACCATTAGTTGAGTGATTGCACCCTGTATGCTCTCTTAGGAATCGAGAGGAGGATGATGCTCAGGAGCAAGCTCGGAAAGCGCATGAGGAAGCACGCAGACGGCAAGAACAGCAGCAGCAACCGCATGTGCAGAGTACCCTTCCTTCTGCTCCACCACCTGCACAGAGTTCCCAGCCAATAATGGATCAGCGAGAGATGGCCAGGAAGCGAGAACAAGAGAGGAGGCGGAGACAGGCAGTAAGTGTCTGTTTGGTTATTCTTTTGGAGGGGAGGGGGCTTCAGAAGAAATCGATTTAAAGTGACACTCCAGAACCCCTAAAACACTTTAGTTTGCTGAAAATCTCTCTGTGAAGAGTGTTTCCTCCTTTTTGCATTTTACAAAAAGTGCAGATTTCAATAGAAATTGACACATTTATAAATTAACCTGGTTGCAACCAGTCCTGGTACTTCCTGGTTTGGTTAGCTCAGTGACGCTAAACCCGAGGCAGCAGTTGCTCAGAGCATCTGCCTCATAAAGACTTCTCATTGAGCATGCATGATAGGATGGCCACAGAAAGTCTGGATGGGGTTAGAAGAGGAGGCTTTGCAAAGACAGCAGACAGAAAATCTGCAGGTTTTCAAGCTATTTTAGCCAACCACGTGTCATGTGTCAGCTAGCCTGACAATTCAATAAATACAAAAAAAAATGCAGCATTAAATATGTGCATGTTTTGATTTGGAGTGTATCTACTAAACATTAATATTTATTTATTTTGCATTTGGAAAGTGGAGTGTCACTATAGGTTTATCAGGAGCCTTTTCCTTCAGACTGGTGTCAATAATCATGCCCTATTTCTTTCTACAGATGACTCCTTCTATAGACATGAATTTTCAGAGTGACCTGATGGAGATATTTGAACAGAACCTTTTCTCTTAAGACTTTGTTCTCCTCACCACCACCTCCTCCACCACTTTACTCCTTAAAATCCCTTCCCACAATTTCCAGTTTTTTTTTTTTTTTTCTTAATGTCAGAAAAGGGGCAGGAGGATCCCTCCCAACAAGAGACACTGAATATGCTCCCCTCCTGTATTTTTATCCCCAGCCCCTGTATATTGAGGCAATGTGTCTCCAAAAGTGATACCAGAAGAACAGCAGTATCTACCCCCTATTTCTTGGATTATCGTGCAGTAAATCCTCCACCCTTCACCTCTGTCAATGCTGAACTATGTTGAAGAGCAGAAACTCTCCAGGAGGGCGATCTGAATCTCTTTCCTCTACCCCCTTTCTGTGAGACGTGGAGTGGAACACTTTGCAATGAATGAGGTTCACACAGAGGAGAGTGCGGGTTTTGGGTGGAGAGAAATGTGTGCTTGATTTTGTTTGAAGAAGAAAAGGGGGCTGCAGAATATTGATCTTTGTGTGTGTACGCGCGTACGTGCAAATGAGTCACTAATATAAGAAGATTAGTGAGTTTCAGAGATTACTGGCGTACATATTCAGATTGCTCTGCAACTATTACATACATCTTTGTGCCCTTACATATTTTTTAAATTCTCTCTAACCTTTCTGAGTTCACTTGCTGCTACACCCACAAGCATAAATGTACTTATTTATTTAGTGCACATGGAATACGCAGAGAAATATTCAATGGCATCAAGATTAGTATTAGTCCATAGAATTCAGATTGCCGTGTGGAACATCTGTCACACAGCTCTGCATTTAACAATGTAATCCGGACGTACAATTACTAAAATGCGTTACCAGTCCCAAGCAGCGTATACGAAATGCATTTCTAGGTGCTGAGCACTGATTTTTATACAGACTGCTTTTAATATGTCCCTGTATTTTATAAATTCAGACCCCAGATTGCCACGTGCCTGCCAGGGACAGCATTCTCTCCTGTGGTTCTATTCTGTAACCTTCCATCTTCCATCCTTACACTGCACAAAATCTGCTTTTACTTTATTTTTATTTTGCTTTCTTGGTATTTTTTTTTCTATGCTCTGCATCAGTATGTCATTTATGCTTACTTGGAGTTGGGTACGCAATTCATAGCCATCTTAAAATGCACATTGGTCTGTGTAAAATCGATGCTGCGTGCCTGGTTGCCATTTTGTATCTTTGCTCTGCTAAATACATCTGTTGCTTTTTTTTATTTTTTAAATAGTATTTCTATGTGCCTGCATCATGTTTCCTTTGTTTATATATACCCAGAGTATCTCGCACACGTGTCCTCCATGTGTTGTTTTTTTTTGTGTGTGTATGTATATTTATACACATACACGTTCTCATATACATGTATATATCCAGTTTATGATGTGTTATTTTTCTCATATACATCTAAAAAGTTCTTTAAACTCAGGTATTAAAAAAAATCCCCAATCTGCGAAGCTCAAGAGTTGCTCTGTATACTTAACGCAAGTACTCATGCATGCTAGCCTGAAACATGCATACAGGCATTGCTTATATGGCATGATCTTAAGACAAGATGGTTTATAGCCTCACAGGTTGTCGCACATGGGATTTAATAAACATATATACCATTAAAACATTTGATATAGACAATTGCTCTGCATATTTTACCCATGCTGCTCTGCAGAGTTTTTCCAATCAGTTTGTGTGGCTACAACTACAGTGCCACCAATGCATCATTTAGTTAATCTACAGGGGAACTGCTCTAGCATACATTGTACAGGTTCTACTCTGATCATATTTTAAGATTCAAAGATAAAACGTTTTCTACAATTTCACATTGTTTAAGAACCCTGCCGGCATGCAGCAATATTGGCAGCCCTTAAGCTGCTTACTCTTGTTTGTAGAGCAGAGACCTATCCTATCTCTTAAATTTCCTATTCACACTCTATAGTGTAGTGAATTCCCCGCACACTAATCTTCATACTCTTCCCAGTGCTCTGTATTGAAAAACTGTACTGCGTTTTACACAAAGTTCAGCGCTCCGCGTCTGCAGGTTAATATAGTGCAATTTTCTGCACACACAATACAATACTCTGCAGGCTCCCAAAGCCTTCACTCTTAAGGGCTGCAGTCTTCTATAACTGCAGTACCCACTTATAAATGTAGTGCAGATCTCGTGCGTGCGTGCGTGTGTGTATGTGTATGGGGTCTCTAATTGTTGATTATGAGGGCAAAACCCAATTTGATACAAACTTAACCTTTCCCTCCTAACCCCTCCTTTCCTGCCTCTGTAATTTTACCCTTCCTTTTGTTTAATTTCTCTTTTTTTGTTCTTTGTTTCTTTTTTTTATTTTATATATAAATATATATATAATTTGAACTGTTTAAAAAAAGAAAAAAAAACACAAGAAACTCAAAACAAATCCTTTATGTGCCATATGCTCTGTCTCCCTTCCTTTATCGACCCACCTCCTTTTTTTTAGATAGTGTACTGTCCCATTTCCTCATGTTTTCCTGAGTAACAGGCACAGAAGTCTGTGTTGTAACTGATTTCATGCAATAAAGTCTTTTTTTATTATATTTTCATTTTACTTTTGATGTATTTAAAGAAAATCTATTTTAAGTTGTTTTTCTACCTTTCCCCTTGCATCCCATTCCCTTCACCAAATCCTTCCCTTTTAATACCTTTGGAAGAAGGGGTGTTGTTGTCCTCTGCAGAAAGAGGGGAGAGTTTACCCCACAGTATATGTTTGGGTCATGTGAGGTGGTGGTAGGGAAGGGTGTTACTGGTGCAGTATTTGTAAGGTGAGATGGTTAAGTGATGCTCTGCAGGACTGTGTAAATTTCCAGGGCTGGCATTGATATGTTCATGTGAAACGTAGCAGGAACTTTATGCTGCATTTATTACAGGTGGTTATAGGATATGTAATATTTGACCAATGCTCTGTACTGTATAAAGCAAATCATTTGAAGTCAGGTTACTATCAACTATAAAGTGTTACTGGCACAGAAGAAACTTGCAATTGAATACGCTAGTCAGGTTTGCTTACCCAGATTTTTCTTCTTCAGCCTTCTAACTAGATTTGGACTGCAATCTCCAAATTCCAGTCAGTGTAGCCTGACAATGATGGGATGTGTAGCAATAGCTAATGATTGAACGTCCATAGCATAAATGGATGTGCTGCAAGTCTCTGGCATGTTAGTGGTTAACGAGGTTGTGTTTTACAAGGTGAAACTACAAATGCAGTGTTAGATTAGTTTTGAAATCCCCACACCTTTTTCTTTTTTTTTTTTTGTCCCAGAGGTTATTATTGCAGCCTTTAATGCTGGTATCAATGACATCAAAAATCACAATGTGGCCCATTACAACACAAATCATGATGAAAACTAGCAAGATTTCATATATCTATTTTGGCTTTTTTATTTTGTTACTGTGTGTGTTTAATAGCTAAATAAATACCCAAGAATTGCTGATGTAAATATTTAAGTCAAACACTTCACAGAGAAAAAATTATTGCTCCTCAGTATCCCATATAAAGGAAAGCATTTTGATTATGCTCACAAAATGTTCAGAGAGTTTGTTTAAAATAAATACTGTTAAGATCGATGCACTGTTTTTGGTTTGTTTTTAAAGGGAAAACATGCTATGTGTTTTCTAGCCCTAATACCGCCAATGGATGCTTGGAGATTTATTTTTCTCCCTTCCTTGAAAGGGTTGAGAATAACTCTTAACTCTAAAGGTCTGGTACATCATGTGATGGTATTAAGACAATTCACCAGCTTCTGAAATATTACACCATTATCTCTAAATCCCCGATCCAGGCAAAGTTCAGGATCAAACTCTTCAATCTGAAAATTAAACTTGGATACCCCAAAATTGATCTTCGTATCATGATCTCATCTGCTTCTCTCTGGTAGTGAAACATTATTTTGGATCATTTGATTAATGGAGCAAAGAGCTGAGTTTTCAGCATTATCCTTTTGTATGTTAGAGGAAGAGGTGAACTATGTCGGTAATCTGTGCATTTTCTGTTAACATATATATATATATATGTGTGTTTTGGGGTGTTTTTTTTCTGTCTCTGCTGGCAGTGTACACATCCCCATGCTTGCTTTGTCAACCTCTTTTGCCATGGTATCCGCCAGTCTTAAGGCTAGTTGTGCATCAAATTAAATATAATTTAAACTTATTTAGGGTACTGGAGGTAGTCATCAGAGAGTTGATTTTCTTTTGTTACCTATGGACACAGTATTATGGTTGTAAAAATATAGCAAATCATATCTTTTTGTTAGAGCTGAAAATGAATTTGCGTAGCAAGCATGTCCCTGGTTTTCTTAATAGTGATGGGAGGCAGGGGGGGAATCAGCAGTACAAAATATGTTGGATAAAACCTCATTTAAGTTCAAGTGCTAAAATTAGCTCAGTATTGTAAATGCAATTACCAAATATTATGTGAGACATTATTAAAAAGGATCCTGTATTTCATGTAGTGTACTATAGACATTTGTCAACATCAAAGGCTCAGGCTCACAGCACAGCTTTAAATAAATTCTTGTTCTAAAGTGTTCTCATTTCTACACATAAACTGTCTCCTCTATGTCTGTGAGAATAAGTTTGGAAGATGTGATAACTCTGCCTGATATTTTGGATAAGCTCTGCAGCTGAAGAAGTCAATTTTCTGTAAAGCATAAGGAAAATGATTATATAAAATTCAATATCATTTAACGTGCAGTCAAAGGTTTGTGAGGTGGGTGCAACTTTGTGCTGGGCTCCCTCAAATAAGGATATGGTGAATTAAATACCTTCTTAGGACACCCACAGCCATCAGACCATAATCATATGTAAGAGGACTGAAGAGAAAAATGGGACTAATGGTACTTTCTCTAACATGGGTGGGTAATTCTGTACAGCAAAGTAGGATGCATTACATTAATTTTTCATTTATTCATTGTTTGCCAATGCAAATAGACAGATCTCTACCTAACATAAACATGATTACTTAAGTCACACAGTCAATACCACGAGGAGGATCAGCCCATTCTAATAAAAGTGTAGACTTTGCTGGTGACGTGTACTATAGTTGAAGGAACCTCCAATGCAGGCAGTCAGCCAGTGTCATTTTAGCATTAACTGTTTCAGGCTGTCTTCCTGTTGTATAACAAAGTATTTGTTACAAAATTCAGGCATTTGGCATTATGGGGAAACAGGGCTATATTCCATGAGCAATCCAGAAGATATCTGGGTTCCTTGTAACCCACCTGTTCTAGTGTCACAGAACCAAGAAAGGCTGTGTTTGGAACAATGAAATGCACAATAGTGCCAACATATTGGGCAGCACTCCAGTGTTTTATATGGATAAGTTGTTAATAGAATATGATTTTCAGACCGATGTGAACAAGAGTTGTCCAGCTGGATTACATTTCTCAAAGGCTGCTAGGTTAATGCTGGACACTTCTGGCCTAATGAGTCCCTTAAATCAATCTTTCTTTTCATATAGGTTGATAAAATGCTAGTTGAGCATTCATGTGAAAACTCAATATTACTCTTACACCTGTCTATTCTGCACAGTAATAAGCGGAATGTTCAATAACCATGTGTGACTGGTTTCTGCATGATTCATCTGCAAACTGTATTGCATTCTCTGAATGTTGGTTCTACTCAAAATCTGAATTTTAGTACCTACAATGGCCAGAACAGTGTCATCTGTGGGGTATGCAATGCTATCTTTCAGCCTTTTGTTATGAATAGGGTATTTTAAGTCTGTTAGTTTAATGCAAACCTTTTGCTTGTTTATGAGTGTAGCAACACATTATTCCTTGGTGTATACATAGTTCATTTTGAAAGTTATATGAAAGAGTCCATAAAGAAAACCAGAAGGTCCAACAGATATACTAGTTATATCTAATGTATGCAGCTGTAATTGTAAATATTGCAGTCTTCATAAAGAGAGAAGGCGATACCTAGAACATTTGAAACCTCATCAGATTTTTGTGACTTTGAAATAGGTACATTTTAGCCAGTAACTGAGAGCAGGCAGGTGAGGGGCAAAGAAAATTTGTAAACTAGAATTCTGCTCACAACTGACTGTTGTGATGTTTTTCACTAAACCCCAAATTCTACAAAATTGCAAAGACTTTGCACGCATTGAGGGGAGCACCTTTTTATTACTGAAAATAAGATTACATGTACTTCAGCCTCTGTGGGTATCATTGTGTAATACATACTTTGAAGTAAACATGCATCCCAACTTGCCCTGTACATAAGAGTAGCTCATAATTGTGTTTCCTTGGTTGGAAGGATAGCTTATCCAATTGAAGACCTTGTGCAATATGAGCAACTGAAAGTGGTTAGCAGTGTACGTTAGTGATGTCTGGTCCTGCATATGGTGTCTGGGTTCATGAACTTGCTTAGATCTGTTACCTGCATGGTCTTCAGTTGGATATGCAGTGCTGCTGACCAAGGAAGAACTTAAGAATGGCAACGGCCAAACCCCCCAATGCAAAGTTTTTTTTTTGTTTTTTTTTGTTTAGTTTTTTTGTTTTTTTACATAAGCATTACAAAATGACACACCTTACGTGTGGCTTCTTTTATTTTCAATAATAAACATTACTAAGTTTATTAAAATATATAAAAACTCACTTGTGAAATTTTGAATAGCTGCTGTCTGTGGACACCATGATTTAATCCCTTCAAAAAAAGCTAAATAGAAGGGGTGTTGCAAAACATTTTGGTTGATTGTAATATAATATGCTTGTATATATCGTTAAAAAAATGTTTTCACAAATGTCTGTTGATAATGCTGTTCAGATACCACTAGATATTGCACAGAGATTACCAGTGTAGATTAGTTGTGTACTAAATAAATACCAGTACAGATACAGATTGCTGTAAATAAATGCAATCCCACTTAGTTTTCATGTATTTATTTAATAATATAAATAGGGAATATATAACCTGCATATAACCTTTTAAAAGGACTATCTGTTCTTATGAAAAGGGGATTAGGCTACATTACTTTGGTAATCTAAATAGACCATTTACGAAAAGAAAAGAAAAAGGTGCCAAACTATTATATGCAGGCAAGACAGAGTCTGATAGATATGTGAATAATTACGCTGTAAATTAGTTAAAAAGGTAAAATACCGTTTCTGATATACTATTTTTGATTCGGACATCTGAACAACCTCACCAAGCATCCTAAATTGAGCAAATTATGCAATGTAAAAAAAGTACAACTAATAATGGCGGATGACATTATTTATAAAACGCCAACAAATTCAACAGCGCTGACATTACACACGTTAAAGAAAATCATGCAGATCACTTTCTAAAAAGATTAAATCTGTAAGATATAGTTCCCTTTTAGAAAATACAGATAATACATTTTGCAAATCTTTCAAGACTTAAGGTTTTCAACGTTTTTGTTTTCATTGCAGACTATGGTGTACTATAACTGGAGTGCTAATATTGAAATGACATTTGTATTTTGAGGGTTTAAATATTGTTTAAAGGACTTTGACAATACTGCTTTGTATAATCTCTTACAGGTAACATGATTGTAAACCTACAATTTAAAATATAGAACAGCTATTGTTTCAAATCCATTTTTTTTTTTTGTTAATTACCAGTCCCATTTTTTTGATTTAATGAAAATAAATTCCATAGACGACAAAAATTTTTATTTAAATGTAAAGCAGGAAATGGTTTGCTTGTCCAATCTGTAATTAATGTTAGCTTCTGATATTTGCCATCCTGTATAGTTTCACATGTAAAATATGAACAGTGTTTTTCTCCTTGGGTCCGTATTAAACATATTATTTCTTATCTGCCATTGATTGAAATCAAGACCATCCTTGATTTTGTGTTTTGTGGCTCCCTTTAAGAAGCCAGGTCTCCACCACCTCTGTATTTTAAAAGGTCTGTAAGATTTTCTTTTCTTCTTTCTGTTTAATAGTTTGTCTCTTTTATACACTGCTATATCCAAAAGAAAACCGTATTTAACTCTGGGAGCGCAGTGTGTGTCTAATAAACCAGAACAGTTTTATATGTTTTCTTTTGTTTTAAATTCCTAAATATAAACAAATTTCCAGTATACTTACAGATGCTTGTCTTAGTATTTGCTATCCAATGAGTGCAGTTCAGAGGGATTTTAATTTACTATATTTTTTTTTTTTTATTATTCTAATGGCCAGGTAACCTGCAGAGCATCACATACAAGGTTACAGACATTTAAATAAAAATAAAGAAAATACCAAATTTATATCAAACTACAAATGTATCACGGGCTTGTATTACCATGTTCTTATAAAAGTCTGTCTGAATTTAAGAAATAAATAGAATTTTTCTCTAAAGCTGTGTAGATTCTATTTAAATAAAATGCATTGGATTCCTGTATTTGCTTATTAAGTAAACTGTGAAATGAATGAAGTTAGGTTCATCTCCCAAAACAGCTCATGGAGCACTGAAGGCACCCAAACCACTTCATCTTATTAACCCCTTAGTGACCAGACCGTTTTTTAAAATTTTCTTACCAGACCAGGTCTGTTTTTACATTTCTGCGGTGTTTGTGTTTAGCTGTAATTTTCCTCTTACTCATTTACTGTACCCACACATATTATATACAGTTTTCTCACCATTAAATAGTCTAAGATACCATTATTTTTATCATCTCATATAATTTACTTTAAAAAAACAAAACATAAAATATGATGACTTTAAAAAAAAAAAAAAACACACACACACTTTTTCTAACTGTGACACCCAATATCTATTACACATCTACAACTCCCAAAAAACAACCGTGCTAAATAGTTTCTAAATTTTGTCCTGCGTTTAGAAATGCCCAATGTTAACATGCGCTTAGCTTTTTTTGGAAAGTTATAGGGCAATAAGTACAAGTATCACTTTCTCTTTCCAAACCATTTATTTTTTCTCAAAATTAAGGAAAGTTACATTGTAACACTGATATCTGTCAGGAATCCCTGAATAATCCTTCACATGTATATATTTATTTAAAAGAAGACAACCTAAGGTATTAAAGTTGGGTATTTTGATTCTTTTCATGCAACCATTTTACCACCAATCTATGCCAAATTAAAAAAAATAATTGATTTTGACACACACAGCAATTTAAGAATACATCTACTGAGAACTTTAAGGGTTACTGCCAAAGAATACCCCAATATGTGTTCAGCAACATCTCCTGAGTACAGTGATATCACCGATGTATAGGTGTGTCTGGTTCTTTGGGGGCTAAAAGACCTTATTTGGAGGGTTCCAACTTGAAATTTTCACAGGTGGTCATCATGCACCCATGTCTTATTTGGGACATTTTTGAAGCCGGCCAATGTAATTTACCCCCATCAAACCATATGTGTTTGAAAAGTAGACACCCTAAAACACTGCTCTAAAACACTCACTCATATTTGTGTAGAGTAATGTCTCAGGAGTACAACAGTACCCCTCAAGTACATTTTTTATGGTGATTTTGAAAGTTACAGGGTCAATCATAAGATTTGCCAATTTCTGTTTTTGTAAATTGCTATTGCCAGATTGGCTATGTTGCCTTTGAAGTGGTATGGCAGCCCTGAAATGAAAATTAACCCCACCCCATGTACAGGTTTTATGGTGTTTTGGAAAGTTACAGGGTCAATATAGGAGTTGACCAGATTGATTTGCTGGGTCTATGTTGCCTTTTGAGACCATATGGTAGCCCAGGAATGTGAATTAACGCCATCATGGCATACCATTTTCAAATGTAGACAACCCAGGGAATTCAAAATGTGGTATTTCCAGTCTTTTGTAGTAGCCTCTTAATTTTTTTTTTATTTTTTTTTTTAAACTGCACTTTTACTGGTGATATTTGTGTTCAGCGAAGTCTCCCTAGTATATCAATACCCCCCATGTATAGGTTTTATGATGTTTTGGAAACTTACGGTTAAATATACGGCTTGCCAATTAACTTCTCTGAACTGTCTGCCTGGGTTGACAGGCAGGTCCCTCAAATTATAATTAATAAAATCAAATAATTATGTAGTTAATAGTTAAATATATATAGAGTGTGTGTGTGTGTGTGTGTAAAAGCGGAGCCTGGAGTTGTGGTAGGGGCTAGTGCTGATATAAGAACTCCCCTATCGGCACTAGACTGCTCCTCGGTATTGCTCTGTTTTGTGTGACGTCACTTCCGGGTAACCTGTCTGTAAGCCAGTTTGCTCCACGGAGGTCATGCAGCCGCTCCACAAGATACTTTCCCGCGGTAATAGTACCGCTAGGACATCGTCTGTCGCATAACTGGCATCAGTTGCCATTTACTATGTGCATGCATTTCCCTGGGGTTCATTATAAGTGCCGGTTCAGCAAAGTCCTACCGCTGTCAGACGCCTAACTGCTCCATGCGGCTGTCTCCCTGCCCAACAGTAAGTTGACAGACGGGTGCCTCAAGCACACCATCTGTACCATTAGCTAGGGAACCCTCCGACTGTCCAGCACGAGTTCACACGCCGGTTAGACCCCCCACTAACACACAGGGTTTATGTGCAGGGATCCCCTTGATACTTGCGGCATTCTGGCTTTCATTTAGCCGAACAAGGGGGTTGATCGTTAACCCCTCACCAACAGTGTGGGCCAAGTCAGGGGCCCCAAGGAAGAGACCCCCCCCCACGAACAAGATTCACGGCGGGTAGCGGCAGGCCCTTGGGCTCGTTACACGGCCCAGGTTCATGTTAAACCTCTCAAGTTAGGGATGACACCTCACCATAAGCACGGGCTATTCTGTTTAAGTTACCTGTCTGTGTGCCACGTTCGGCACTTCACTACATGCTGTCAGGGAAACTCAAACCTGTGTATTCCGTTATTTACTATTACTTAGGCCCATCTCAGCGTTTGTACGTATGTTCAGATTACTATACGATATCGCCACCTTGTGGCCTTGTTAGACAATTACAGGTAATAACTTCTGTACTTTAAAATATGTTACGTTTGTGTGTTAATTTTCCCTGAATAAGGGTAGTTCTGGTTTTACATCACTATAATTAACTACAAGGTCTGTTATAAGCATCATAGCTCCTGAACATTACAGCCATAGTCATATTAACCTTATCGTTTCATCACCCCAGGCTCTATAGGTCTGCAATTCGTGATACAGTTGCGTTTCAAGGTCCAGTAGTTTTTCCTAGTGTTAGAATTAAGCATGTAGAGTTGTTAAATGCACGTACCAAGCTGCATTTGCTCATTTAACAAACACGCTTGTGGTAACAATTGTAGAACCGCGGGTGGGCGTTTAGGATTATTATAGATATATTGGTATAGTAATATGACTCCCTGCATATTTACACTTACGGTTTGGTTACATAAGATACCAGGACACGCTAAAGGTATATAACATGTCACTTTGACGCTACTTGCAATCTAATCTTCAGATAATCTTCCTTCCCCAAATCTTTAAGTACTACCTTTGGTATATACTACAGATAGGTATCACTACTGACTTCAGCCACTTTGGTGTTCTAGTTAAAAGCACGGCACCGTTTCTCTATTCAGAGAAACCCCTAGTCACCCACCCCCCCCAAAAAAAAAATTATCCCCCTACCTACCCCCCTCACCCTAAAAATAATGAGGGGAGGACCTTTAACTAAGTATCTGTAAAAATAAAATAAAACCATTTGATGTTTTCTTTCTTCTAAAATCTTTTTTCTGCCCCAAAAAAGGCCAAATAAAAATCCATAATAACCTACGCACTTTAAAAAAAAAAAAAAAAGCGCAAAAAAAATAATCCATCTTCACCCATGGAGGGATCCGCGCAGACTGAGCTCTGCAGGACAGGGGAAGGCTTATAAAGCCTTGCCCCGCCCTGCAATTAGGCTCAGAGCACTCTGATTGGTGGGTTTAAGCCATCCAATCAGAGTACTCTGACAGGTAAATGAAGAAACTGACAGGTAAGTCTCTACATTTACCTGTCACAGCACTCTGATTGGTTGGCATGAAATCCACCAATCAGAGTGCTCGGTGTCATTTTACACAGCGTGGGAAAGTTCTTTGGAATTTTCCCACGCTGTGTAATTTGACTTATAACACTCTGGTTACTTAATCCACCAATCAGAGTGTTATGAGTCAAATCTCTTCATGTCAGAGCACTTAAACCCACCAATCAGAGTGCTCTGAGCCTAATTGAGGGCGGGCAAGGCTTTATAAGCCTTCCCCCTGCAGAGCTCAGTCTGCCGCAGCCCTCCTTGGGTCCCCCCAATTTTTATTTAGGGCCACCCAACGCAGAGGGGTGGGGGCCGGGAAGGAGGACAGTAGGTCCCCTCATTGTTACGTAGGGCCCCCACCGCCGTTGGTGTGGGGGCTGAGGGAGGACAGTAGGTCCCCCGTCATTGTTATTTAGGACCCCCACACGCCGCTCAAGGGTGGGGGCCAATAGGTTTTTTTGTATTTTTTTTATTTAGGTCCCCTCCGCTTATTTTACTTTAGCGCACCTACCCGCTGTTCACGGGTGGGGGCCGATAGGTTTTTATTTTATTTTTAATTTTTTTTTACCATGAGAAGCCGCTGGCTGCTCACTGTTTACTAGTATAGTATAGCGAGTAGGGGCTGAATTTACTAATACTGAGTAATCTTTACCTAGTATTAGTAAATGTGGCTGACAGACCAATTTAGGTCTTTCAGACTTTTGGTAGATAGCTACCGCAATGAATAGGATTGGAGTTTCATTCATTCGAATGTAATTGCGATACGAGCAAAGTCCCGAATTGCGTTCTAACACAAATGGAGAAACTGTTCTCATTCTGTTAGGACGCAATTCGGCAGTTTTGTCAAACGCTTGTTGATTGGCTGCCCTGCAGCTTTTCAAAATGCACCATTAAATCGCTGAACACCGAACTCGAACCTGAACTGTTAATGAAATGTCCGGGTTCGGGGTCAAAAAATCGTAATGTTTGGTTCGCTCAACTCTAACCCTTTTTCGAAGTTATTTATTTTTATTAATGCTCAATTGGGCATTCCTAATTAGGTCCCCCATTTACAAAGAAAAATAAAACTTAACTGTAACCTTGCGTAAAGCTCCCTGCTCTGATCACCACTCCATCCAATGTCAACAAGGGCCATGCATGTCCAATCAAAGTCTTCTCAAAAAGAAGCGTTCGGTTAAACTGTTTGGCATTCATGCGTTCAGAGATGGTGGCGGGAATTTTTCATTGATTTTTTACATATATAAAAAAAAAAAGAACAAAGCTATCTAGATTATAAAGTGTCACCGAGAGGCCACTTCTACCAACAAGTTGCATGCTATAAAAAAACAAAAAACTAAAAAAAAGGCCTTCTTACTCAAACTCCTCTGTGCTGTGTGGTCTAATAA